ATGTAACTTATCTTTAATCCTAACTAAGGAAAACTATAAACATAACTATCTGTCTTCAACTCCATCAAAGACCACAGAAGGATAATATATAAACTCTAGAAATTACTGAGACATCTCACTGCCTGGTCACCTAAAGTTCTTTTGTAATCTTCCATCTTTAGCCCATAGGCCATAGTGTGTCTGGCAGACTCTTCCACAAAGCAGGACACTTTAAACTGTCTTCTTGTATTGGCAGTTTGTCAGTCACTTTTCTCTGTGTCCTGCAGACTGTCTGGCAGACTCTTCCATGAAGCAGGAACTCTGTAACAGGACCAATGACTTTGTTTACACATTCATGTGCTCTGTCAAACCTCAATCCTTAAAACAGAGGGTTTCTGATTTCCCAGTCTCTGGTGAGATGATGACTCATAAAATCTGAGCCTTTACATTTCATACACATGCTACCAATTATACCCTCCTGATGTAAACGCTACCAGAAGGGATCTGAAAGCCACTCTCCTGATCTGAAAGCCAAGGGAAACCTCCCTGCTTATTGTTGCTTCAGGTTTCCTTTGATTAGTGTTCAGGAAGCCAAAAGAATAAGAACCATTTATTGTAAAGGGCAGAACATGGAAACAATGGTCTGGCAGCGTTGTCTGACTGTCATGTTTGTGATTGGCAGGCGAAGATTACTCACATTTAGCTACCCTCATTTCTTGTAAATCCAAGAATTATAATTTCCCTTTTCTTATGGTAAAGATGGTTCTCTAACTCCCTCTTATTCCAAAACTGGTGCTAAATCCCTATCTGTGAGTTCACTCAAAACATACAGTTGCTTGGGTCAGTCACCAAACAGATTTTAAAAATGGCTTTATGAATATCTGCACACATTTGAATCTCTGGGACCTTCGGATCCGTGTCCTGAAACAGTCACAGGGCATCAGGATAGTGTGTGCAACGAGAAGGTCCAATTTTTAAAATTCACTCAAATCAAAATCAAATATTAAAAGACAGTAGCACAGTTTTTTGTTTTTTGGGGTTTTTTTTTTTTTTTGGCTATATGTGGAATATGAAAGGCAGTGTGTCATAATTCAGGTGAAATGACTGTTTAAGATATGCATGACTGGATTTGTGGTAGAACCAAAGGGACAATTTAAAATCTGGAAGATGCTGGCCTCAGCACTGTACCTCATGATGAGACAATAAAAGAGCTCATTTCATATCTCTTAGGATAAAGAACTGGATAGGTTTCCACCATCACCATTCTTATCAGTTGCCTATTTTATTAATTATTGCCTCCTATTAAAATTATAGCATAAAGGAAGTCCAGGTTGGTGGGATGAATACTGTCTATAAAACACAACCCACATCTATTATAGACCAAAATGAAACTTTGTAGTGTGTGTGTGTGTGTGTGTGTGTGTGTGTGTGTGTGTGTGTGTGTTCTTTCCTTCTACCATGGGTTTTCGGGGATCAAACTCAGGTCACCAGTATACATATACATATATACACAGGACATGGAGTTGGGATCGGGGAGGATGTGTTTTTGGGACACAGGGGGAGTTAGAGGAGAGTGAATGAAGATGGATGATCAGATTTAATTTTTATATGTATGCGATTCCTAAGAATAAATAAAACATAATTAAAAATGAAAGAATTAAAGAATAAATAAAAGTTTTAAACTCTCAAATCCATGCATGTAAAGTTTCTGTAAGAGTGAGTACACCTTGTGGATAGTTATTTACCATAGAACTTTCAGTGATCTTTGAAATGTTAAAAAATATTTTTCAAAAAGAAGTTTTGGCAAATAGAAAATTGGAATTGTCAAAAAGGGTAAAACTTCATGTTCCTATTTTGAGTCATGAAACCTAGTTCCCAAACCTTCCCGTATGAGATTGTACTGAAGTGCTGCTGGATAAATGGAAACCTTCCAGTCAGCTGAAGAAAACAAACACTCTCAGTAGCTGTGTGGTGTGTGGAGAGTTCAAAGCTCAGACAATGTGAAAGGGCAAAGATTATCTCTTCCTCTTTTGCTCAGATTTCCCCTGCTCTGGTTTCCAGAGAATATTAGTCTTTGTTGTTTTGTCTGAAAGGTCCACTAAAGTACTTCAGAAACCTCAAGACTTGCTGGTCCTAATCAAGAGCTGCTGTGGGACACTAGTTCAGATATTTCAAAGTGTCCTTTGAAAGTTTCAAAGCCTTTCGAGTTTGGAATCATAGTCATTACAGAAGTATCCAGAGATGCTATCAATAGATGTAGGATGACACAAGCAGGCCCTGCCTTTTCTTAGGCTCACCTGTGAGAATCTGCTTTCACTCCAGTCTTGTCCCGTCTTCTACTTTCCAAAGGTACAGGCTCTGTCTTACGACTCTAGAGAATAGAGAAGAGGGTAGGAAAAGCAACCCTGGAGAAGGAGGAGGTGAGTGTATGGGAGAAACAGAAGGGAGATTTGAAGATATTCCATGAACCTTCTCCATGCTTCTTGAAATACAGGAGCCAAAAGGTTATTTGGAAGTGACCCTTTGGTCTGTTTCACTGTGTCCAGTGGTCTGATGCCTTCGGCACACTTGCATTTGTGATCCTCAGTGATAAGGATCAGTGGAGGTCTACAGTCTTCACCTACACCAGGTTTCCAGTGTCCATGGGGAGACAGATGCAATTTGGAATCAAAACCCAAATTGAGGAACTAGATACTTAAGTCTTGCAGACATTGGGGAGTTTGAATTTGCAATAATATGTGCTACCATGCATCAAAGAGACATAAAATGGAAAATAAAAAATTTCTCCTGAGGCATGAGAAGGAAACACCCACACGTAAATAAGCCAAAGAGACGATGCCATCTCACATGAAAGATTATTCTCCTTCCCAGAAATATAATACATTTTCTTTCATCATTATAAAAATTTTATTTCACAAGAACTTTAAATTCCTTGAGTTCATAATCATCCACTCTCCTTAAGTCTATCACTGGTGTATTTCTATACTTGTTTCTTAACCTAGCCTGACTGGAGCAGGGTTGTTCAACCATGAGTGATTTCCACACCTCAGTTTCAAGGCATATTTATTTGTCCATCTCTACAGTTTTAGATGTCAGGACGCAGGCAGGGTGTTACCTGCATCTACTGGGTAGAAGCCAGAGAGAGTGTAACTTCATGATCGTGTAGGACAGTCTTCTACAAGAAACTACCTGACTCCCAATGGTTATAGTATCAGTATTGAGAAACCCTTGTGGAGAACCTTCTGAGATTCCCATGGTGTCACTGGGCATGGCCCCTTCACTTCTACCTCCCAGTTGTGCTTATAACCAGTCCTTTGCTCTTCATCAATACCAACTTCTCTTCTCCCCAGTCCTGCCTTTGGTAGAACAAAGGATCTTTCCACATGACATCTGTATTAATTGGCAGTCCTTGTTAATAGTCCAATTTGAGGGAAATGGGGCACTATGCCTGGTATAGTATAGTATAGTACAGTACAATATAATACTGAATAGTATAGTGCAGTATAAGTAACCACTTGGGATTTAGGTATTGTACTAGATACATTTGCATAGCTCTAACCAAGATACCTGAGAAAGACCTTAAGGCAAGAACATCTTATTTTGACTCATAGTTTCATGCTTGCTTAGCCTAATGAGCTTGGGAATAACATCATGGCAGCATGATGATAGGGTGAATGATCTACTTCACCCCATGATGGACAGGAAGCTGAAAACAGGAGACAGGAAAGGGTCAAGATTAAGTTAGCTCCAATATCCCACCCCACTGTCTTATTTCCTGCAGCTAGGCCATACCTTGTAAAGGTTCCAGAACCTCCCAAAATAAAACTATGGTCTGAGGACCTATGCTGGGGAAACATTTCATACTCAAGCCATAACCACAGATAATTCTTATAAGAGTTAAATGAGAACATACTCGGGAAACCTGGGGATGTTACCAGACATCTAAGTACTTAATACATGGTGAGCATTATTATTGTTGGTGCTTTGCATACCAAGATCCATGTTGGCCAACTCACTTCCTCCTCTACCACAAGTCCTAGAAGCAGGTGTATTTTAGTAATGGTGGTTTCCTTCAAATGCTTCCCTAAGCTATTGATTTTTCTATGTCTGTCCTGGCCAGTCCTATTTTTCTCTTGCTTGATTTTAGTTATTTAAATACCTTCTTGAGACAAAGAACATTAATGAATGTAATTGTTCTTACATTCATTTGTTCAAAGGACAAATACTCAAAGCACTATCATGGGTGGCAGAATTCCTGGCCTGTATGGGTGTGAAGATAGGTGTATTCTGGGGAAAGTATGATATTCTGGCATGAGTGAGCTTGTTCATTGTGATGCCTTTCACTGTAATGAAATTTGTAGAAATAAAAGAAAGCTTACAACCAAACCGGTGTGTTGCTTTTGCCCAAAACTTTATAGTGTAAGTAGAGAAAGGAGATACAGATGTCTAGTAGAAAGGGAGGTTTGTAAGTTTCATCTCAAAAGAGATATCAGAACTAGTGATAAGTAGTTGTTTGTTTTTTGTTTGTTTGTTTTGGAAAAAATAGTAATTGAGTCAATGAGAGAATAAAAGATTATATAAAATGAAAATAATTGAGTCTTCTCTGAGAATCTAGCTCTGGATGGATGGATAGGTGGATGGTGTGTGGGCGGGTGGATGGATAGACATGTGAGTGGATGGCTAGATGGATGGATGGATGGGTGGGTGGGTGGGTGGGTGGATAGACATTGCATTGCATAATAAGATAAATTAAGGGCATGTTTGCTTTCAGAGGTGCTGAGGTGAGTGTACTTCCTGTTATAGATTCTGCTTGGGAAATACTGAAAGCCCAAAACACCATAAAGAAAATGAAAGTGATATGTGTGATATAGTTTTCCTACTTTGATATTTTATGTTTTATGTGTTATGAATTATGTAACAATTGTTACTCAGTTTAAGTTGGCTTGGTTGAGTGCTGTATCCCACTCAATCGTTTGAAAACAAGCTTCATTATTAATTATTCATCGGTTTTACTCTTTCAGATCATAAGGCAAATGGATTTTCTGCATCAAAAGACCACTATCAAGAAGTTACAGTAATAGAGTACCAAGGTACGGCATCTTACAGGCTTGGATTGATTGGTTTACATACTGTCTTTCTGTTTGTTAAGATCTTCTGCCTACTCCCCACTAACTCTCTCTCTCTCTCTCTCTCTCTCTCTCTCTCTCTCTCTCTCTCTCTCTCTCTCTCTCTCTCTCTGTGTGTGTGTGTGTGTGTGTGTGTGTGCGTGTGTGTGTCTATGTGTGTATGTGTGTTTTGGGGTACAGCATCCAAGGTGGGAAGGTAACTTTGTGGAGTTAGTTTTCTCCCTCTACTTTATGTCAATTCCAGGGATCCAATGCAGGTCTCCAGCCTTTTAACTGCTGAGCCATTTAATGCACTGTCTGCTCACAACTTATTTTTCTCCTTTTATGGTCTGTTTGGTTCTTGTGATGGCATCGCTCATCAGCCATGATTCTGGTAGTGGATGACACTTACCATGTACTTGGACCTTCTGTAGTGACTACTCTTGTAATCATCTAATAGCCAGTCAGGTTTTGGTCTGTCCACCTCAAGGAGAACTTTTGTCCTCCAGGCATCCTATCTTCAAAGATTAGCAAGATAAGGGTGGAGCAGAAGCTCTGCTTGGTCACCTAGGCAGTCTAAAGGCGTAACAAAAAGCACTCAGCTAATCCAGTTAAAGCCTTTACATTGTAATATACTACATGATTAAGCTAGTAAGACACACTTTACTGTGTGTCAGTTTCAAATGAAAGATGGTGGCCAAGAGAAAATAAATGCCTGAAAGTGACTTGGACTCGGGAGTACTCACAGGAGGGTAAACAGAGCTGGCACTATGCCAGAAGGAAAGACAGAAAGTATTCATAGCAGAAGAGGATGACCTCAAGAGTCAAAATGGAGCCCAGCATTCTCCTCACTTCCCAGAGGCACTTTCTGAGGTCCAGCCAGATGCAGTGGGTGAATATGCCTCGGTTTAAATATCTCTCCTAAAATGGCAAGATCACATGCTTTATTCTTACATTACTTTTAAAACATTGAAGTAAAATGAACAGAACCTTAAAATCTGACATCTTAAAATGTAAACGGCTCAGTGGTATTCAATATTTCCAAAGTGTTCTAAAACCACAACCAACCCCTCCGTAGACCCAGAACATTTCCTCTACTGCAAAGTGCAATCTCGTGTCCACTCGGCTTTACTTTTTTTTTTTTTCAAAGATATGCTTTATTTTTAATATAGAAAATCCTTCTATAATTCACTGCAGTCAAATGTTAATCTCAGGGATGAAGTTATTATGCTCAGTGAGAAATTACTTCATGGTAAAGCCAGTGCTTACCCATGTACAAGGTGCTGGCTTTAATGCAATGCACACACACACACAATCTGACTCCAGACTCAATGTTTACTGTTTTCTTCTTTCACTTTCTTTTACCCAGAGTGCACTTTCGTTCTAATTTATCTGTGTCTTGCCTATTCCAATTTGCCTCTCTATTAAGCAAAAATCAATTTGTAGTTTCTTCTAATTTTTGTTTCGTTGTTATGGTTGATTCTTGGTTTTGTTTTTGGTCTTATTTGTTTTTGCAATAACTTAAAGTCTGTGACATTTTGTATACATGAAATACACTTCATTCAGGTTTTTTGTTTTTATTCTTCTCGTATTTCTCTAATGTCAAAAAGTTGTGAATTAATCCCTGGTTCTCAGAGCTGCTGGTCAGCCTCACTTCCCCTGGTGCTGCCAAAAGCAGATTAAGCCCGAAATCAGGGCAGCTCTGCCAGGCTTGTATATCATATGAGCAGCTCTGCGCAGGGTCCAAACCTGAAAGCTATTCATCGGAATTTTATAGCAACTATTTTCTTGAACAGTGATCTTTTTTTTTTTTTTCAGTCAAGATTAAACAGATGTTCTGACAACATAATCCACCTTAATAGAAAAGGTTGGCATCTTTTGAGTATTAATGTGTTTTTTTGTGAGGAAATATGTCTTACATCGATACTATTTGTTTTACTATCCAAGACAGAGGTGACATTTGCATTCAGATTTGGGCAACGTAAATGTGGACTTGTGATGATATCATGTATGGATTCCTAACATGTAAGCTTACAGTCACAGCTACAGAGACTTTCTCTATGGATGAAAGTAACAGACCATTCAAGGAGCACTTGTTATATGCAAGTGATAATGTGCATCAAACATTTATATTGACTGATAGGAGTAGGGTGCTTCCATTATCTCAGACAAAGGCCTAACTCGGTGGTCTGTGCTGTCAACTACCATGTTGCCATAACCCGGAAGCCAGATATGGAAAATTATACCAGCTGTGAATTTTGATTTTGGGCTAGAGAAAAGAATGTATCAACATCTAGATTCTTTATCCTGAAATATTAACCCCATAAGTCTAGTACTTTCACTATCTGTATTAATACCTGTTACTGTCTTAATTAAATACTACAGACTCTAAAGCAATGGCTTTGTTCTCTGACAGTTCTAGAGGATGATAGATAGCTCAAGATCAAGGGCAGTGGTTCTCAACCCAGCCTCCTGGTGGGATGGAACATCACTTTCGTGGGGGTCACCTAAGACCATCAAAAAACACAGCTGTTTACATTATGATTCATAACAGAAGCAAAATAACAGTTGTGAAGTAGCCATGAAAGTAAATTCATGGTTGGGGTCACCATGGTTGAAGGACCACAGCATTAGGATGGTGGAGAACCACAAGCTTGGGGATCTTCATCTTCATTTCCCTGTGCAGGACACTTTCTCACAGAATCTTCCAAAGAAGTTCCCCGTCTTCTAAATCTTTGATCAGGCGTCACCTTCTGAAAGAGGTCAACTTCGTTTTGTACATTGTGTCCTTGTCCCAGCAACCGTCCATCCCGTCTCCTCTGCTCCTCCACTCCCCCACCTCCACAGCTCTCACCCTCTGGGGTACTCGCCGTTTGTCAGGCTGACTCTCCCTGCTAGACTGTCAGATCCCAAAAGCCAAGGGATCCTTGTTGTGCTCCTTGATTGCAGCTCGAGAACAATGCTGGCCCCACAGTATTACTGAACGTATTTTGGAAAATTGGATAGACCGCTTCTTCACATCCCATATGTTCAGCAAGAAGGAAACTAAAGTGAAGTCACTGGGGTACAGGAAGTCATTGGATACATTTTCTAATAGAATTTCCTCCGGTTTTCCCCACAGGACAGTGAGGGAGGAACTTGCTAAAAGGGATGCGTTTGTGTGCGTGCTTAGTGAAATGCATGGGGTAGTGTGGTGCGGCATAAAATTATCTCTTAAGACGCAGGAGTAAGACACAGAGAAACAGTGAAACCGAGGGTGGCCCTGTGCATAATTGTTGGAAAACTCAACAAAATACGGGAAGGAAACCTCTCTAAAGCTCAAGACTCCGGAAGTTACCACCCTTTCTCCTTAATCAACAGAACAGAACTGTTTCCTCAGACAGGTCCCTTAGCACACATTTGTCTTTGTAACATAGTTGTAAACACCTCTGAAAACGATCACTCTGCATGGTGTGAAATAAAAGCTTTAAGCATTCTTAAGACAGTGTAGGGTCCATTCTTTTTCCCCTTTTCTTTAGCCAATTTTCTATTACCTTTCATTTTATTTCTATCAATAGAAGCATAGTGAAAATTTAGAAACACAGGACAGGCTACACATACCAACAACAAGCCCTTATTCTATCACCACTGAGTTTCAAGCTTATAGACTTTTTTGATCCAAGATTGTGCATGTGAAATATGGACTTAAAAAAAAGACATTAAATATTCTTAGGCATCATAACCAGATGTATGGAAAGGATTTTAACCTAATTTTTTATTCAGTGAAAGATCCTGTCCTGTTTTTTTATTTTTTTTTCCTTTAGTTCAAACCACATGCCTTATGGCTAAAAATATTCAGAAATATGAAGTTGGCATTCCAAGGAGCCTGGTTGAAACATACTTTTAAACTATTTACAGCTGGTGCTTCTGCTTGGCAGCTTGCAGTAGTATTGAGAATAGTGTTGGGCAACTCTCCCCTAGTCATTTTTTATGGCCAGTCAAAAGAGGTGACTCCCTTGGAGGTTCCAGGAATTCTTTAATGATGCAACTATGATAAGTTTACTGGCATAAAACTGATTTTTGCTACACTGAAGTAAAACTGATGTGAAAATTCATCTTTTAATAGTTTGTCCATATTGAGGCAAAATTACAGGCAGTCATTTTGCAGCAGGAGCCTACAATTTGTAGGCTATATTAGGTGTATATTAAGGTCTTCATAACATGAGTCACTGTGTAGCATGATAAATAAAAGACCCAGAGGATGGTATTGGGGTTCAGGCTTCAAGCTGGAGATCAGAAAAGCAAAGCAGCCAGCCAGTAACTCTTATACCTCAGCTCAGACCAAGGGGGTGATCCTCAAACTGCTCCATACTTCCCTGCTCCTCAGATTCACTCACACTGCTATGCTCTCCTCAATATATCTAGAGTCAAATTCTCAGATTCAATGCCTCTACCTTTTATACCTCCAAAATCCTGGAACTGAAGGCATGAGCTCTGATTCGCTTTCACATCTACCTTTGAATCTTGAGTCCTGGGATTAAGGATGTATACCACTACCACCTGGCTTCTATAACTAAGTAGTGCGGCTGGCCTTGATTTCAACAAGCTTTAATAAATAATAAATAATATATCACTACAGAACTGAATGGGAATGTAGCCTGTGAGGAACTTCTGTGCGTTTTCCCAGCGTGCCTGGGATGGACTAAGTGTCTTTCTTGGGTGCAAATGTCAAGTACACCCCCTTGACCTCCTTCTTGATGCACATCATCTTTGCCTGAAATTATCTTACCTTCATCTTCCATGAAACTTTAGGCTCCTCTGATGCGAAGACTTAGGCTAACAAGTAATTAATTAGTCACAGCAGCTGTTTGCTAAGTACTAACAATGTTTAGGCCTGTCTATTTTTGCATATGTTGCTGCTTTTCAAGACTCACAAATGTGTGCGTCACTATCCTATTTCAATGATATAAACTCAGATTCCAAAACTGGGATTATGTCACATAATTATTAAAGAGAAGAGCTGTCATGTTCCCAATTCATCTTTGGGTGAAGCCAACACGGTACCCATTGAAGTGATGTATTTATGTCTCTGTGTGTGGGTGGGTGGAGATAAATAAATGGATGGAAATGCAAAGGAAAAATTAAATAATTTAAAGGTGTTTTAAGGTTTTTTAATTAATGTGTAAACTAATAAAAAGCATATTTTCCCTTGTTTCTAGAGGCCATTTTAGCTTGTAAAACCCCAAAGAAGACTGCTTCCTCCAGACTGGAGTGGAAGAAACTAGGAAGGGGGGTCTCTTTGGTCTATTATCAACAGGCTCTCCAAGGTAAGAAACTGTAGACTTGAAGAGGTCAGACAGAGAAGACACTATGTACAGCCCATATTCTTTAACTTACAAACGGGAGCAGGACATGACTGATTACTGAAAATGTGTTCCTGTAAGTGTGAGATGAAATGAATAGTGTCTGAAAACTAAAATACAACAGTTACAAAAACCGGACAGAGCAAAAGTAGGTGAATTCCACCAAACTCAATTATTTTGCTGGCCTGGGAAATTAAATGGTTAGAAAGGTGAAAAAGGCTGATCTGATATTGGGCCAGACATGGTGGTTCATGCCTTTAGTCTTGGCAATCTAGAGGCAGAGACAGACAGAGCTCTGTGAGTTTAAGGCCAGTGTGGTCTACATAGCAGGACAGCCAGGACTACAAAGAGAGACCTGTCTCAAAAAAACAAAACAAACAAATAACAAGATGAGATTGGGATTAGGGTTGCTGCTCAGTAATAACCCTACCCCCTATTTCCCTCCAGAAAGCAAGCTGAGAAGTCTGGAACGTTGGAATGTGTGGACTGTTAGTTAGAAAAAAAGCCTGGAGAGTTGGAACTCATGGACTGTTAGTTACAATAACTGTTAACAAGTGCTTTTCATTGTTGTACATGTCTTTCACTCTCTACCCTTCCTTTGGGTTATCAATGGATTATTAGTTAAAATGTGATAATGGTGGATGAACGTTAGTTAGTATGTTGCTAACTTCTCTGTTGCTGCGATAAAATACTATGACAAAACACCTTACAGAAGAAAGGCTTTATTTTGATTTACTGTAAGCAAAGAAGTACAAGAGGAAATGGGGTGACGCTATAATCCCTCAAAGCCAGGTCCAGTGGAAATGGGGTGACGCTATAATCCCTCAAAGCCAGGTCCAGTGATGTATTTCCTCCAGCAGTGCTTGACCTCCTGAATACTTGATAAGCCGCCGGAACAGCCACCAACTGGGGGACAAATATTCAAAGTCATAAACCTACGAGGGACATTTCTCATTCAAACCATCATACCCATTGAAGAGCACGTCTTACATTCCAGGCACTCAGGAGGTTGAAGCAGATAGAGCTCTGTGAGTTCAAGACCAGTGCAATCTACAAAATGAGTCTTGAGATACTCAAAGCTATGTGTTGAAACACCGAATCAAAAATCAAATAAATAAAATATTCCACCTGATTGTACTCCAATAAGACAGGACATACATTTCAGTGGCTAATAGAAGAGGCATTTCCACATTAAATTTCTACAGTTGCCATTTCATGCACTTGCACATTACACAACCGCATTTCACTTTATTTTTTGTTTTTATTACATATACTTATTTGGGGGAGTGCACGCCATGTGGAAGTCAGAGAACAATCAGTAGTTGTTTCTCTTTCCATCACCTCGAATGCTGGGATGAAACTCAAATTATTTCACTCTGCAGCAGGCACCATTACCCACCAGGTCACACCACTAGCTCACAAAAGCTCACTTTAATTCACTGCTTGCTATTATCAAAATCTAATCAAGATGATGTTTGTAAGATCCTTGCCACCTACCTTTCTTCTCTGGCATGACTTGAATGACCATATATAAAGTTAGTGTTCTGACTACCTAAATTAAACTCTTCATTTGTGAAAGCAGAAATAGATACTAGACAGGTGGTATGGCAGGCATTTGGTTGAGTTCTTTAAAATCAAACATGGTGCCAGATGAAGTGGCACACACCTTTAATTCGTGCACTCAGGGAGCAGAGGTAGATAGATCTCTGAGTTCAAGATCAACCTGGTCTACTTAGAGAGTTCCAGGCCAGCCAAGGCTATATATATAAATATAAATATAAATATAAATATAAATATATATATATATATTGAAACCTTGTAGAGAGTGAGAAAGAGAATCTAAATAGTCTTTAATAATCTAAAAATGTCCTCCAAAATGCATATTATGCACAAGCTCAAAGTTTAAATTTAAGTTTCTACCAGGAAAACACGTACTTTAGTTTTGAATGAAGTAACTTGAGGAACACACTACACAGAAAGTTTCTTGTATTGTTTCTAACATTATTGTCATTCTCCTTCCCCCAAAAGGTGACTTTAAAGATCGAGCTGAGATGATAGATTTCAACATACGAATCAAAAATGTCACAAGAAATGATGCCGGGAAGTATCGCTGTGAAGTCAGTGCTCCGTCTGAGCAAGGTCAAAACCTGCAGGAAGACACGGTCACACTGGAAGTCTTGGGTAATGTGCATGCACATGTGTAACTGCTGTCAACTGTTCCATCCTCATCCTAGCCTGGGGCAGGACACTAACCCATAGCCCCAACCAGGACCGACATCCTCTACAAGCTCAGCAAGTCCCAGGCTCTTCCTTTTGGCTCACTCCCTGATGAAATCACTAATTAAGTTCCACAAACCCCTCTGTGTGAGACTGAAGTGACTCCTAATGCTTCTGCTCTGTACCATGGACCATTTTCCCCAAGATTCTGTTCCATGTTTGTTTGTCAGTATCCTAGATGGTATCCCATAAGTTGATGGAAAAGCAACAGAGGAGGCAATTGTAGACCAGCAGTAAAATCAGAAAGTATTTGATTCAAAAGATTTATTTATTTGGTAGCTAGCAGAATTTAAGTACCTATCATCTAAAGCCACACCCATTTCTTAGAGGATGCCCTGTTCCATGTCACCTCACCCTTTTCATCTTCAGGACAACAGAGGCATGCTTGGTCCTTCTTGTACTGTTAACTGCCAGCATTTCCCTCATTAACCAACCAGAACAAAGCCTGCATTTAAAAGGCCCATGCCACTAGTGGTTAAGAGAACATGCTGCTCTCTAGATGACCATGGTTGGTCCAGGTTCTCTTTCCAGCATCCACATGGGGAATGAATGACAAACCTGTTACTCCAGGTCCTGAAGATCTGCTACCTTCTTCTGATCTCCATGGGTATTGCATGCACTTGCTGTACATACGTACGTACATACATACAGGCAAAACATTCAATGCATTAAATATAAATGAATAAATCTTTAAAAGGTTCATGTTGTACGGCCAAATCCACCTTTCTATATTACAATATATTACAAGCAACAGATTGCAGATTAGGAAGCTTTTTTTTTTTTTTTTTTTTTTTTTTTTTCTGAGACAGGGTTTCTTCGAGTAGCTCTGGCTGTCTTGGAACTCTCTTTGTACATCAGGCTGGTCTCAAGCTCACAGAGGTCCACACTTGCCTCTGCCCCCAAGGTGCTGGAATTAAAGTTGTGCATCTGCACCCTGTGATTTGGAATTTTAATTATATGTGCCAGATTTCTTCACAGTACTTTTAAATATCTGAGAGACTGTGTATATACACTGAAGATGGGGATATCATGGAACTGTCTTAAAGTTCTGCCTACAATTGTCAGTCCTGAGTTTTCCAGGAGATTATTAATAGTTACCTGCTAAATTCTGCTTTACTTCAAGTCCCTAAGATCCCCTTTCTCCATTGTCCAGTGGCTCCTGCAGTCCCTTCATGTGAAGTACCCACTTCTGTTATGAGTGGAAGTGTTGTAGAGCTACGGTGTCATGATAAAGAAGGAAACCCAGCTCCTGAATACACATGGTTTAAAGATGGCACCAGTTTACTGGGGAGTCCAAAGCTTGGCAAGCACAACAGCTCATACACAATGAATACAAAATCTGGAATTCTGGTAAGGTCATTGCAGGTACTAAGCTACTGTTGTTGTGATGAAATGATTATTAGAACTTAAAATTATAGAGAACAAGCGATCAGTGTCCTTACTTACTAAGTGAGGAGATGAGGTAGTATCAGGATAGAGGATGGTACATGTACTAATCAGTGACCGAACAGACTACCATGGGAAGTGGGAAAACGGTACAGGGAACCACGGAGCTAAGCACACAAGGTATGGGCAGGAACTTCGGGCAGGCCAAGCCTTGTTCACGTTGGGGCAGGCAGTACTCTGTGGCCTGGAAAATTGCTAACCCCAGTCTCAATTAATACCACTGAGGAAACACATGAAAAATTCAGCTGGACCTCAAACAGTGACCATAAGAAAACAGGAAAAACCACATTAGGTATCAGAGTCATTAAACTTTCCATGGCTCCAGATCCTTTACTGGAGTCCTGACTTACATGTCTGTTACCATAACTTAGTTCCGATTTTCTGATTGCTTCCTCCTTTCCTACAGATTACTGAGACAACTCCATAAAAAAAGCTGTTCAGGCTTAATGGCATTTTTATAAAGTCTTTTTATTTTTTCATCTGTGACTTTTCAGAGTAGAGGCGGGAGGGGAAAAATCAGGTTGTTTAAGCCTTTTGTTTAATCAAGATACTATCACATTGGGTTGTCAACGTTTTGTTTGCAGCAATGCAAAATCACTACCACAGTGATTATGAAAAACACTCTTATAGGTAACACTAAAAATAGTGTTAGGAATTCTGACACTAAGCTGTATTGTTTCCTTTTACTCTTTCTACTAATGCAGTGCTGTGTAAAACCAGATCTTCTGATGCTCGGGAAAGCATACCAGTTCTGTAGCTAAGTGAAAAGCAGGAGAACGAGCTGCTGCAAAATAAGGCCATGCTCTAGCATTTTTCGCAGTCATTGGGAGCAGTCAGCAGGTCCGAGTGATCTTACACTGTGAAATTGGGCACAAACACTGCTGTCACACCGCTATATTTACTCTTCAGATTTATTTTTTCTGAGTGGGTGATAAAAGCCCAGAGGCAAGTCTGAAATGCTAGGATCCACTCCCCTCAGCCCTGGCGGTATCTGGTAAGGACACCTTATGCCCATAGGCAGGTTAAACTGGAGTGGGCTCTTTTCCCTTCCCTCCACCTGCCCCTGTCTTTCTCTTATCCTTCCATAAACTCTCCAAGAATGTACAAGTTCTGATACAAATTATAACACCTTTTATATCAAATTCTTACCTCTCATCACTTGGCAGGGAGAAGTAGTAAGGGTCGAATTTTTATTTCTTCAGAATTTCCAAATATTCTGGAATTGCTATAATTTACAGTTCTATAAACATCAGTTGAGGTTTCCTGGGCCTTGGAGCTGCTTCCTGAGCACAGCCCTGGCTCTTTGGAGAAAGTGGGTATGGTTAGTGGACTCACAGTGCACTGTGATTGGTTGTTTATTATGGACTCACTGTGACTGAGAAAATGCACTGCGGTTGGTTGGTTATTACTCTATTCTTTAGGCTTTTTCACTGCTGTAAGGGACCCACCACCCAGCTCCCACATAAATACACGGAGGCTTATTCTTAGATATGAACACCAGCTTTAGGTTGTCCTGCTTCTAGCCAGCTTTTCTTAAATTAACCCGCAACCCTTTGCCTCTGGGCTTTTTCCTTTTCTTTCTTCTGTATATCTTACTTTCACTCTTACTCATGGCCCCTCACATCCTCTCCTTGTTCTTGGTCCTTTCTTCCCCTTTTCCCAGATTTCTCCTGCTGTTTATTCTCTCTGCCAGCCAGCCCCACTATCCTCTCTCCTGCCTCACTATTGGCCAATCAGCTCTTTATTAGACCATCAGGTGTTTTAGACAGGCAAAGAATCACAGCTTCACAGAGTTAAACAAATGCAGTATAAACAAAAGCAACATATCATTAAACAAATGTTCCACAGCATAAACAAAAGTAAAACACCTTGAAATAATATTCCACAATAATGCACGTGCCCTTTCACTAGGGCATGGCACATACCTGTAAAGCTGGGAACTTGAAGGCTAAAGAGGGAGGACAAGGAGTTTGCACTCAGCCTGGGCAACACAGTGGCATATTGTTGATGGTAAGCAGAGGGACGGAGGAAAAGAGAGACATATTTCCTCAGATATATTTGTCTTTTTCTATTAAATTAAACAGACCTGGCTATTTACATCTCAAAGTCCCTGGAGATCCTGGTATATACATACCACAGTTCACAAGAAAACCATAAAGTTCTGAGTCATTACAAAGGACAGACCCACTTGTTGACAGAATTCAAAGGGCATTAGTGATTTGAGCAGTCTACTCACAGATTTACAGTTTAAAGGTCTATTTGTTTTTCCTTGTGCAAATAGCAATTTAACATGATTTCCAAGATGGACAGTGGAGAATACTACTGTGAAGCCCGCAATTCTGTCGGATCCCGCAGGTGTCCTGGGAAACGAATGCAAGTAGGTAAGCATGGACTATTGAGAAGTACCGGTATGAGTAGAGTGTGGAGTATTTGATGGTTAAAGGAGCAGCGGATGGAAGGCATTGAGTGATTTGAAGGACAAGTTGGAAGAAATGTAAAGCAAGCTTAATATAAAAGAGCAGTACTGTTTTCAATCTATCTTCTATCAAAGTAAGACAATTTAGCTTATACATAGCAACATCTGAATTTTTCAAACACATGTTTTTAAATATGCCTTTCTAGGAAATCTGTCTTTCAAATCATGACCGTGTGTGCTGTCGTATGTGCTGCTGGGGGCCCACAAAAACTGCTGCTACCAGCTCGCTACACATTTCATTCTCTGCAGTGGCAGATACTTTCCTTACAGGGTTACACTAAAGCAACAACAGTGCTATGTGCTTTTATGACTCCGTTAGATTTAATGATGGTTTCTGTCCATCTAGTTAACCTGAACTCACACATGTGTTATTTCACATTCCAGATGTCCTCAACATAAGTGGCATCATTGCAGCTGTAGTAGTTGTGGCCTTCGTGGTTTCCATATGTGGCCTTAGTATATGCTATGCTCAGAGGAAAGGCTACTTTTCAAGTAAGTTGAATTCACCCTTCTCAGATATGTGCTTTTCTGTGGACACAGAGATTTTTTTTTTTTTTTTTTTAAGATGTACTGTTCCTCTTATGAAGTTCTACTCTGGAGAGTATTTTTACTGCTACTATGCTATAGGTGATTTCCACAATAACATGCATAAGGTTTTGATACACCTTGGCAACTAGAGCAGGGGTAAGGTGGAGAATGCTTCCTTTTCAAAAAACAATTCTATGCAACTTCCTACAATATGTGGGAATCATCCTTGGAACAGAAGAGCACACAGACATTCACTGTAGACAAATGTTTACAGTGTATTAACATATGTGTGAGATCCTTATATTTTAAGTTAGAATTTTGTCTTTCAGGATAGACGTTGATTTCTAATTTTACAACAACCAGCGAAATGTTTCAGTATAGAACAGTGGAATGTTGAATGTCTAAATTAGTACAACTATAAAGAAAATTTCCAACCAAAACTCGAAACCTAGTTGGGCATGATGGTGTATGCAGGGGATCACAGTACTGGGGGTAATGTGGAGTTGTGAGAATAGTAAGTGTGAAGCCAGCCTGGGCTGTACAGTGAGATCCTATTTCAAAAACAAAACAAAACCAACAAGCACACATAGACCCTACTGAATTAGATACTTCCAGACAAGGTTTTCAGTTCTTCGTGGTTAGAACTCTTCTAACTTCAAAATATATTTGACTATGCTGTTGCTTGGATATATACTTCTGAGATTCAAACATTTTATTATTTTGATGTATTCCCTCCCTCCCTGTGTTTAAATTTATTAAAGTGCATGAGTGTCCACTTGCTGCACTGACAAAAGCCTATGAAGTTGAATTTTTAAATGAAATAATAAATTATAACATGAATGAATTTTAGACCCATTGCTTAATGATGGATATTAGTTTAAATTTAGGTTGAAAATAACTCGTATCAAAATAAAACAAAATCATGCTGGGCGGTGGTGGTACACACCTTTAATCCCAGCACTGGGGAGGCAGAGGCAGGTGGATCTCTGAGAGTTCACGGTCAGCTTGGTCTATAGAGTAAGTTCCAGGACAGGCTCCATTGCTACTGAGAAACCCTGTCTTGGAAAAAAAAAAAAAAAAACAAACAAACATACAAAAAAAAAATCAAAAGGAGTTTCTGATAACATAAGTAAATCTTATACATCAGAAATGTTTCCATGAAAACTGATTCAAGGTAATTCCTTATGTTTAGCTACTGTTGGGCACAGAGCTCATATGTGTAATCACCACATTCATAAGGCTGAGGCAGTAAGATTGTAAATTCAAGGCCATCTTAGTCTACACAATATGACCCTGTGTCAAGGAAAAAACAAAACTAAACAAAACAAAAATAAAAAAGAGTGAATGAACTGTCTAGCTTAGCCTAGCCTATTTATGAATAGAATCTAGCTGTGTCCCCCTGCTGGTCAACAGTGAAAGTATAAACAAAATTGTCACTCAAAATTCTTGTCATTTTTACCTCCTTAGAAAAAACCCTAATGATTTTTAAATGAGGAGCCAGGAAAGATACCTTTCTTAAAATACTGAGAGCTGAGATGGGGGTTAAGAGTTCATTAGCTAAGATTATTACTTCCATTTTCCTATGGCAGAAAACCTGTCCAATGGAAGAGGTTTGAACCTGTGTTTGAGATCAGCAACAGCAAACTATAACCTCTGGCCAAATCCAGTTTGTATCTGTTTTTCTTTTCCTTCTACTTATCCCCTCGCCCTGGTACCAGAAAATGGTCCTAGGACCTTGTACATGCCAGAGAGCCATCCCATTACTGAGCAGCATAGCCAGCTGTCTTTTGCTTTTTCATTGTGAGACAGGGTCTCACTAAGTTGCCCAGGTTAGTCTTGAACTTGTGATTACCCTGCCTTAGTTCCCCAAATATCTGGGACTACAGCTTTGTACCACCAGGCTCAGCTCCTACCTCATTTTCTAGAGTTTATAAGGTAATTTTTACAGAGGAAAATTTAAAATTACTGAGTAATAGTAACACTATCTTGGGAATCACATTTCAAAGAAATGTTAGTCCTATACCTTAAGAACCCTATTACTTTAATTAATAAGCTGAAGAGATGATTGTCGTACTTCAAATAACATTTTTGAAATTTTGACTTTACCCCTGAGCCCTCAAAGCCCAAACATTTGTTGTATGTGTGACCTTTTATAGGAAAGTTTCCATTTAGAAGTTACAGGTAAGAGTCAAAGGGAGGCAAGCCAAAGTCATTATAGATAGATCTGCATATTAATTCTTGCACTAATGATATATACTTGTTCTTTTGTAGAAGAAACGTCCTTCCAGTAAGTATCCTTTCATAATACATTTTCTTCATATCTTTTATTCTTTAATCATCTGTTTAATGTCAACAGCAGTACAAAAGTATTATGAAGTAAACATAATCAGCAATAGAAGAGATATGAATGTATGACTGTGTACTAAGTGCATGCAGGATCCATGGAAGCTAGAAGAGGGGGTCAGACCTCCAGGAGCTGGAATCACAGATGGCTGTGAGCTACTGTGTAGGGGCTGGGAGTCCCATTCTCTGCAAGATTAGCAAGTGCTCTTAACCGCCGAGACTTCCCCCTAACCTCTGGGGGAAATATCTCAATTGTTGATAAAAATGTTGGAGTCATGAATAAGACATGGGAAAGATCATCATAGTTCCAGTTTTGTTGCACTTGATCCATGACTGACCTCCCCTTAAATCCTTTGAAGACTCATCTGTTATTGATTTCTGATTCCTTGATGCCTGTCTCAACCCTGGTGTCTCAATCTCATGGTATCCCATGAGAGTCTAAAATAGCAGGATTAGCAAAGGGGAAACTCAGAACAGAGCAGCCTAGCTGTGTAGCCACTACCCACTCCCACCCCAACCCCAGGCAACTGTGAGCATTTCAGTTTTTTACTAAAATACAGAGTGATTGGAGGGTTCTTAACAGAGTGAAAAGTGACCTTAAATAGAGTGAGGGAGATTTATACTTTCTTAATTTGAGCCTCTGTGGAATCAGGCAGAAGTCTTAGTAATCTAGGAAGGAACATTTTACTTCCTTATGTCCATTCATGAAATCCAGTCTTCAAATTCTACTAGACTCCCAATCAACATTTAAAACTGTCTGTGGACAGATGAAATTTCAGATTATAATAATCAAATTTTTAAAATTTAATGATACATCAGGTTGAAAATAAGTCTTTTGTTTGTGTATTCCATAAAAAAAATCAACTTAGCATGTTAGCCTTAGGCTGCATTTTGCTGCTCAGGATTTCACACAAACCTGTACCTTGTTTCATGGATACTGTCTGTGTCAGGAACCCAGTCTGGGCTGCTCATTTTTCTTCCTGCCTGGATAAGATAGTCCTGCTGAATGAAAATGGGTTTCAGGACTGTAAGTGATAATATATTAAATACTGTCTTTATGTTCTACAAACAGGAAGAATAGTCCTGCATCTAAAGCCACCACAATGAGCGAAAATGTGAGTACTATTAAGCCATGTTTAATATTTAGGGCTATGGCAGGGAAATGAAAACAAATGTATGGATATTGTGACTTCATTTTTAATTACTTCAGATTGCTGTCTACCAGTGGTACACTAAAGGATCTAAGTAAATGCTAGCTTCCTTTCCATCTGGGTTGGCATGGTGATGGTGAAGACGTTTGACATTTACAGAGCAATTACAGGAAGTGACCTTCATCATACTTCTGTTGGGGGTATTCAGTCTTAAGTCTACCTCCTTCATGTGGCTGAGTCTGGCATTTTCAGTCATATTTGATAGATGAGGAAACTGAGTACAAATTCTCACAGGCTAACACTGGTAGATCTGCAGCCCAGGTACCCTGTGTCTTTGAAGTCTGACCCAATAGATGGTCAGATGGCTATCATTCTAGAACTTGATTATTCCAAGCACTTGGTAATGTTCAGGATATAAAATAGCATGTTACTGCAGTAAAAGAAATTGCTATCTAGTTGGGATCACTTAGAGAACATCATTTGTACCTGCTGTACTACTTTTTGGCGATAGAACATTCTCAAAAGCTTAAACCGTTTCCTGAGAAAAGAGGCTTCCCAGAACCCCTTAGGACCCTAGGAAGGGATCCTCGGCTTCTTCCAGCACTACTCGGGCTCCAGTACCTTAAACATTTAGGTGACTCCAGTAGACAGTGGTATTTAATGCCCATTATGGCTCTGTAAAGCTTAGGATCTATGACAGAAGTCACCATATTGTAGTTTACTATACTACTCTTCAATTAGAGGACAAATATGTCTAATCATCATCCATAATTTACAAAGAAAACCTTCAAGACTGGAATAAAATAATCCTGGTCTGTCAGATGATAAAAAGGACTGTCTCTGAATTAAAAGGAAAGGGGCTCTCTCTCTCCCTCGTTTCAGTTACACTCACCAGCTTCCCACATCTCCAGTTCGGTTGTGTTCTGTGGTAGGGTTCCCATCTCTCAGTGTCGGGCCACATTGCTGTATTGTCCTGTGCGCTACTGGATGAGCAGCAACAGTGGCCTAGCACATGCCTAACAAGACACATTCCTCTTGCTCCTGCTCCAAGTTCTTTACTCTCGGGAAGGTCCAAGCTTCTTGGCTTCTAACTTTTACTTAATTGTCCATAAAATTAGATTTGGCTACATATATGCTGACTGACTGTAACTCTTAAGAATCTTAGTTTGACATTCTTAGGATTTATATAAATGCTTTTATATATGAAGTAGCACATATTTAATTTTTTCCTTTCTTTTCTAGGATTTCAAGCACACAAAATCCTTTATAATTTAAAAGAATTCCAATTTCAAGATGCACCAAACCACAGTTGTCACACAAGTTATTAAAACATTATAAAAAATCTGCTTTGTCTTGCATTTGCAGAGATGGATGAGAAAATGACATCACAATTTTTATGACCTTTAATTCACCTGAAATTGTTATTTTAAGAACGTTCTTGTTGTCACCTAAAATGCAATCTGGCATCTTGTGACTAAACTAAAGAGAAGTGAAATAGCTGGTAATATTCAGAGTTTTGTGACACGCACATGAATGTCCTGTTCTAGAAAGTTTAACTTATCATACTGACTGTGGAGCTAACCCAAGAGGCGAGTGTGTACTACATGTGCTCTTCTCTCCAAGCAAGAGTGGCCTATGTGTTCAGTGAAGACTCTAAAGAATGGAAACTCAAAATTCCCACCAGGACCTTCTTTTTCTTGCCTCTAAATAACCCTATGGCTGTGGTCCTTTGTCTCTAATTTATCCGCTCGTCAAAGGAAGCCCAAGGCTGTGTCTTAGGCCCAAGGATTTGCACTTTGTGTTTCCTTTCACATCTCAGAACAAAAACCAACAAGGATGGAGCTGCTTGCTGCTATCTCTATTTCCTGGGACTCCTTTGGAGAGGCTCAGTGACCTGGACATCAGAATGCACTACTAGAACCTATACAAGTTTGTAGACACCTTTCTCGGCATGAATGGTGACCTTACATCTGTCTCTAAAAACATTTCTGAGCTGGGCTAGTCCCGCACTACTGAGGACAAGGGGTTGCCAATCTGCTTATAACGAAAGGGGGACATGGAGGAGAGAAGCATTTGCCTGTATGTAAAATGTGAATGAACGAGGTCCTTTTGACTCCCAGCTTGCTTTATACAGCACAGGCACATGAGAAACCATGACTGAAATGAGACATGGGTCTAATGTTTTCTGAACTGCTTAACCACGAAGGCTACCAGCTGTTGTCAGAATATGAAATTCCCAAGGCTCAATAATCAAAGCAGGCTTTTTGGGGATTGGTTTATCCCCGCTGAAAACAAAATGTAAGTAGGGATGTCTAGTTCTGGGTAATAGCATGGAAAAGTCATTCACTCCTTTTGCCAGCTTTGAACATGGTCAAATTGGCTTCAAAAGAATTTGTTCTTTCTACCCAAAAGGCAAAGCAGAATCTCAGGGCTTCCTGAACACATGGAATACTTGGTAGTAATCAGGTCACTGGGGAGTGGCCCACTGCCCTACTACTCCCCTGTTACTTTGTGGCCTTCAAACCTTCTCAATAGACTCCTCTCTAGAGGTCTAACTTCTGTAATATGGCTCTACTCTCAAGTCAGATTCACACTGCGTCAAGCCAGCCAACTCTACAAAGAACAAGACAATAGGTATTTTAACTCCCATGGTTCCTGTTGCAACCACTGAACTCTGTCACACTATGTAGAGAACAAGCAAGCAAGTGTGCCTCTCTCTGTTCCAAGTAAAGTTTCAGGTGGGATTTGCACATGTACAATCTCCTCACTGCTGGTTCCAAATGACAAAGAAACATCTGTGGTGTATAAGAAATCAGGGTAAATGTTGCCTATGCCATGACTATGAGATTTGCTTGGGTAGAAGGAATGTTACCCTTCTTTAGTAACATACATCTCTCAAGGATGCCTCTTCAGGGCATATACCACCATCACCAGATCCACCCTTCAACTTAAATGACACAAATCCACAGTGTGAGAGGACAATTATGCAGTGCCTTAATTTTGCTAATAGATGAAAAGCTTCCTTTTAAGACACTGAATGAAGCCTAAAGATTCACTTTATGCAATGTAAAAACCCAAAAGTCTGTGCCAATACCTATTACACATTATTAACTAAAGCACTGTACACAGCTAAGCAGAAATCATCGAGTAAAGAATACATTCTTTTACACAAAGGCAGCAACTGAGAACACCAATCTTGCGGTTAAGTCAGTCAGTGCTCACTGCCATCCACACTTGTGTTTTCTGAGTCTTGAACACTTATAATGTATCAAAATCAAATTGTAGTTTGTAGAGCATTTTGATTGTTTTTCCACAGTGAACCTGCAATCGGGCTCTCGAAACTATGGTCACAACTTTTGTTTTAGTATTTTTGCTATTGTAACTAGAGCCAACTTATTTTTAGTTAGGGTGGGGGTTAACTTAAGTAAGTCTGAGTGTTTACTTTTCAATACAACTCTACAAAGAACTTCCTTCATTCTATAGCTCACTTTTGGATTAAAGTCCACATTACAAAAATAGCTACATGCAGCTCAACTTTTTAGCCCCATTCAACAGAGCAGGGGAAGTCACTCACCTATTGTTCAGTAAAAGCCAGGAAACCCCTCCCTCTTACCACCTGCAGCTGTGAGGTAGCTCAACAGCTTGAGATGGGAATCTCGACATTGCTCAGTCTGGATACCTGCCAAAGTCTAAAGGCAGAGAAAGAAAAGGGAAAACTACTTACTGGATGCTTTATGTGTCAGGTTGGGGATAAGGAGTGCAAAGTCTCATTCCTCTTCTAAGAGGGTTAAAGAAGAGCCTCACGTCTCAGAGTTGGCAACGTCTCAGGTTTGCAGGGCAGTTGCTGGAACTGGATGTCTTTGTGAACACACGTCCACCTGACCCACAGTTCACACTTTTTCTTCATTTTAAATTCTCCACTTCCTTCTACTTTCTCTTCATCCTCAGCAACCTCTGGCTCATCCTCATCCACCCTTCCCTGACCCTCAAACCTATCTCTGTCATGGTGAGACTTATCTTCATCACTGTGATTTCCACATCGCTGCTCTGGTATTTAAAATGTATCTTATAAAATAACATTTCCAATTATATACTTCATTTTGTTTGGTTATCAACCCCATCTCCTGTTCCCCATCCCTGCTGCAAAGCCATCATGGCTCTCATAGTCTCCTTCCACTCTGTCCTATGATGGGGGATGTCCTTCTATGCGCTGTGAATGTTTCTCTTTATTGGTTGATAAATAAAACACAGATTGGCCAGTAGCCAGGCGGGAAGTACAGGCAGGGCTACCAGACAAGGAGAATTCTGGGGAAAGGACGCAGAGGGAAGCTGCCAGAAAGATGACATGCAGCTGCCAAGGGAGCAAGAGGACCGGTTATCACCAGTAGGCAAAGACAAAGTAGAGATACATGGATTAATAGAAATGGGTTAATAATTAAGAGAGAGCTAGCCAATACAAAGACTGAGTTATTGCCAAACAGTTTATAATTAATATAAGCCTGTGTGTGTTTACTTGAGACAAAAAGTTATGGCTGCAGGACCAGGTAGAACAAAAACTGTCTTCAGTCTTGCCTTCCCCATACCCTACTCTTAAGCCTGCATCTCATGGACCCCTACCTCCCTGGGCTTTACTTACATCTCCTCCCATCAAGATACACATTCAGTAGCTAGAAGCTAGAATCCATAGGAGAACTATGTATGACATTTGTGTTTCAGCCTAACCCTTCCAGTTCCATCCATTTTCTGGCAATTTCATTTTTCGTCTAATGCTAAAGTTAGTTATCAACAATGTTATATGTAAATTCACCCCATCCCTAAGTTTCTCGAACTTTAACCTCCTCATGGTGCCAATTAAAACTGGTATGCCGACTTTAGCTTTCTTTCTTTCTTTCTTTCTTTCTTTCTTTCTTTCTTTCTTTCTCAAGAACCTCTTTCAGTCACTTAACTTCTCTACTTGCTCTAAGGCATTCTTCTCTCACCCCATCTGACAGTTTGCCTCCATACTATCACATCTAATGACAACTCCCTTCCCTCTCCCCCGGCTAAACACCTCTCATCCTTCCTCTATGTAACCCTCCTGCCCCCTTACACATAAGCTCTCATATTATAACCCACCTGATCAGCCACATCCCGCTGTCTTCTTTGGTTGCATTATTATTCTCTGATCAAACCAAACTGTTTGGCTTTACAACTTATTCTGCCCTTCTGAATACATTTATTCACAGTACTTCCATTAGAATGTTAGTCCTCATTACAAGCTATGGAAATTCTATCTACTCCTAACTGACAAGCCAATTCATTTCCTAGCTGCAAGTTTCTTCTCTGAATTCCCAAAGTATTTGATTCTTTTGTGATATCTATTTGTTTCTGTGTTATAGCACAGATAGGTATGGATATATCTGAACCTCTACCAATCTGAAACTCCAAGAAAGGATCAACCTATGTTGTACAGGTCTTCATAAAGTCTAAGGTATTTAATAGCATCTACCACAAAAACAGTTCCTAAAATTGCTGAATACTTGAGAAGCACAAGGAATGATTAAATGTAAGCATCTACTTAGAATATTAATAAAACATTATATTCTGATACAACTCAGTTTGTGCTCTATAAATTATTACTACATGAATTAAGTAGGAACAGAAATTACTTTCCCTTTTAGCAATTCTTTATCTATGTGAGTAGTTGCTTACATGTTGTGTACATCACATGCATGGCTGGTGCCATCAGACATCAGAAGGAACCAGATACCCTGGAACCAGAGTGACAGACTGTTGTGAGCAGCCATCTCTTCAGCCTGGACCTATACACAATTTTTAAACCTTTTTTTCATGTTTCTTGTTCATTAAGGTTTAGAACATTTTAGCAGTAATAACTGGTAAAGAAATCTAAATGAACTATCATGTTTGCTTTGTTGGTACCAATATACATCAATTTCTAATGTGTCATATTTTTAATTTACTAATTTAAATGCAAAAATACACTGTAACTTATTTTTTTACTTTCTACAAAGAAGATGCTCTCAAAATAATGAACATTGTGCCAATGAAGGGCCCATTTGGTTTAAGATGAAAGGCAGACACTTTCTACTATCCCTTGGCTTTCTGCTTTTACTGTGCTACCTATAAATATTTTTAAAGATATACAAAGTTGAGCATGTCTCCATGATCTGTAGTTGGACTTTTAAATTAAATACTGATACACTAATTCTTTGTTTTGAGACAGGGTCTCATTATGTAACTCAGGCTAACCTTGAACTCCCAATCCTCCTGTCTTCAATTCTCAGTTATTGTGATCAAAGGAACATATTATTATCCCCATTTTATTCATTTGTAAACTGACTTTTCCTTCCAAAAATTATCCAACTACTGTTGAATACCCTGAAGTTACTGAAGAGGCACAAACTTACCTTTCTAGACTTTTGGGCGAGACAGAGAAGAAAGGATAAAAGGTTTATTCATAAAGACACACTTATGTAACAGGACTAACAGGGCTGTTGTGCTGCTCAGAGACTGAAGTTTTGCCTTTCTACAGGAAATGATAACTGTACTGAGAATGAATGCCCCTTAGAGCTTAGTGCCACCTTGAGATTTCTAGTCCCTGACCTGTGCAGTCCATGTAAGCTGAAATTTGTATGAACACATTAGTGATGGCAATGAATGAGACATAAAAAAAAAAGAGAGAGAAAGACTTGGGCAGAAATCATCAAAGGCATGCGGAATCTTACTCTCCAATTTGCCTCCAAGGTAGCTAAAGGTTTAATAAACTCATACTCTGGCATGTCAGAGCCACTGTCAGATATAAGATGACAGGACGGGCTATTACCCTTCAAAGGCTAACTTCCTTGAGCGCCACCCACAGCTGTGGGAACTTTGATGTAAAGTTCCTGATCTGAAACACCCTCAGGATATAGCTGCTGACTCTTTAATGGCTGGGCCAAAGAACATTACATACAGTTACATCTTTTAGAACCTTTTGTTCCAAACCACGTTCCCTCCTGAATCCATATATAATATAACCTGCAGGTAAAAATGAGGGACATCAGTTTGAGCTGGCAGTGGTTAAGACACAACAGACATTTCTGTGCATAGTAAGTTACACAGTTTCCCAAGAAAGCCATGACAAAGCCACTCATTTAAGAAGGAAAATACAGTAAACAAAGCCAAGCAGTGGTGGCATAAGCCTTTAATCTCAGAACTCAGGAGGCAGAAGCAGGCAGATCTATGTCAGTTTGAGGCCAGTCTGGTCTACAGAGATCCAGGACGGTCAGGGCTATACAGAGGAAGCCTGTCTTGACACCCGATCCCCACCCCACCAGCCAAAAAAAGATAATTATAACATCCTCTTTACAGCAAACATTCCTTTAGGTGATGGTCTCCACACCGGGAAGAGTCTAGAAGGAATAAGGCAATTTCACCCAATTTATCAAAAATTTCCATCTGCTTCATTCTAACCAAACGAAATGATTTAGAAACAACCCAGAGACAAATCAACCCCAGGCGCATACTCCATATCACCAAAGAAATTTAAAGGACATTTGATAACTGTGAAATGGATGTTTATTTGAATTTTTAAAATTAGTTGTACAACTAATTCATGACAAATTACCAGATGAATTTTATAATATTCTTCAGGCCTGGGGCTTATCGAAGACTTCAAATTTGGGATCTAAAAAGAGGAAAAAATTTCAGGCTTAGCCATACTACAATAACAAAACTGTCTACAAAGCTTGAAGTTTACCAGTTTTAAGAAAACATTTGTTTTCTTAAACTAATAACCACCAAACTTTCAACAGGTTCTGTGACTAGGGCTCGCTCTATTAGTGGACGCAGCATAAATGGGGTTGTGAGATTAGACCAATCAAATGAGAAAGGTATCATAATTCCTGTGCTCTTTGGTCCCCGTGAAACAGATCCAGTGCCCCCTCACGAACACAGCACGCTTATAGGAACTTCACATGTAACTGTCACTTAACCTCCAAACAGTGCAAAAACACTCAAGAATGAAGTATAGCTCAGTGACAGTGTTTGATAACAGAGGCAAGGTCCTAGGTCTGACCCTAGCATGAACACCCAAAAGAAAATGTACATAAATATTGTCAACCTATAGTAATCCCCCAAATTTAATTTGTGTTTAGACTTACCTTCAAACTTGAAGGTAGGGAACGTATTCATATCTCCTTTACCAAACATTTGTTTAAGCTTAAAAAGCTCTCTGTCCAGTTCTTGCTGATACTCGGGGCCAGTATCAACAGGTCCTCCAGATGTCCTAGTGTACAATTAAACAGAGAAAATGATTTATGCACTAATCAGAATACAAAACAAAACTGAAATTACACTCTTCCACCAAGTTGTAAGAAATTTTAAAAGTGAAAGTATGGTGGGGAAGAAAACTTTTTAGTATCTGAATTTTAATTCAAACTTTTAGAACAGCTTTCAGAGATAAAGTAACTTCAAACAAATTTCTAGCATTCAAGGTCTGTTAGTATCAAAGACTTGTATTAATCAGACCCTCTTAAGATCTTAGTTGCAAGCATATGAAGAATGATGCAGTGCAGATAAAAAAAGAAACCCAAACCAATAAAACAAAAAAAAAAAAAAAAAAAAAAAAAAAAAATCTCCAGCAAAACCCAGATCAGACACCTGAAATGTTAAATCTAACATCATTTTTCTTTAAAACTATTATTCTTGGCCAGCCTGGTCTACAAAGCTAGTTCCAGGACAGCTAAGGCTACAGAGAGAAACCCTGTCTTGAGGGGGAAAAAAAATAGCCTATTATTCCCTAACCTGGTATAGTCCTGAGTGTGCCTTCTAGTTGACAGAAAACAAGCTGTAAGGAAAATCATGACTCAATTCTTTTTTTTTTTTTTAAATGGAAAGATGATTTACAGCTACCCGTAAGATCCTCAAAAGGGCAGAATGACCCCAAACATTGCCTTCAAAGCCCTAATGAGAACTTTTCCAAAATGTCTTTCAAAAATGTCTCCAGCTACAAAGAATATTTTTCCTTTCAACTTTTCAAACATAGATGTCACCTAGCATCTAACCATTTTCTTACATTTATTTGTTTATAAGCTTTACACTTCTATCAGGTTTTAAGAATCTACATTTTGTAAAAACATGGTCCATATCAGTTAGCAGCAATGTTCTTTATAAATGACAGATGACTAAAGAAAAGAACTATACACGGCTGTGTATCATTTTCATAAGATTTAGGGGTTGAACCAAATGATGGATAAATTGGACATTCGTCTCAAGTGTGTGGTTTGCAATTATGTTTTTCCAAGTTCTACTTCATGCCGTTTAAAGAGAAAAATGCTGTTTATGCACACCCCAAATCATATCATAGAAAAAAACAAAATGATTTGGAATTCTCTGATTTTATGTTTTGCCCAATCATTCTTAGTTTTAGGATGTTAAGCTAATCAATGTCTACAGGACTCAATTTTCTTAAATTAGCTACTAAATGATTTCAAGATGCCATATACTTCTGTGACTTGACTTATTTCATTGTAATGACATTATTGTGCTATACTTCAAATGACAAAAGACTTACTAGAATTGTCCTAGGAGTCTTTATAAAGAAGACACAGTTAGGACTTACATCTTATAATTTATATACTTTGAATACTTATATTCACATCATCTACCCACTTACTGTCGCTTTGATTTGTACTCTCTTATCTTGTCCACGAAGAGTTTCTGTATGGGATCAAGTTCCTTATTAAATGCCACCGCTGTAACCCCAATGTTCCTCCTCAAATGCACAGAGACTGCTGACCGAAGGACAGAGGAGAGCCTGAAGATCCTCTGGAGAATCATGGTGAATCTCTGGTACTACACAAGCATCAGAGGTTATTTATTTGTCACAAAACACTTCTAATACATCAATGGCGATACCCTATCCCATGAATTAAGTTAGAGAATCACATTACACCGGAACTAGGGCTATGTCCGGCCAGGTACAGACATATGCAATGACTCTTCCCTTACAAGGCCTTTGCTTCTTACCAAAAGGCACTGGGTCACAGGATAGCTGGGAGTTCTACGAGGGTTAAAGGAGAGAGAAAGCACAAAATCTGGGGTGGTGCTTTTTCCTCCCAGGAACTTAATCTTGGACCTGAGGAAACAGTGAGGTGAAGCTATTTGTCTCCAGCAGGAAAAGACAATTTGTTCATACTGTGCCAGTTTCCATGACCTCTCAAAGGGCTAACGGGCAGCTGGACAAAGGGAGTAAGGACAGTTGTCTTAGCCAGGACTGAGAGGCTGGAAATGTCTACTTATCAGGTCCACAGGAAAGAAAAGAGCCCTGCCTGCTAACATCATAGGATCCTGGCCACTTAATACTGTTACAACCAAATCAACTTCCAAAAGAAACACAGCAACCACGTCAAGTGAGCCCTGCAGTAACAGAGAGATCAGATGATACAAGCTCATCAGAGGGAGTCTGCAGAAGGTCAAAGTAAAAAGTTTAATAATCAGAGCTTAAAGCTTTTCAAGTTCGTAGACCTCCTACAGCTAAAACAAATTGATTTTCTAGCTGAAAATGTTGACAGCTACATAAAGGACAGGAAATTCTTGTTGAGACCTGAGTTAACCATTTAAAGATCAAATGCAAAATTACAAATTACAACAAAGACACCCTAGCAGGAAGTCCGAAACCAAGAGACAGGAAGGCTGAAACTTAGAAGAAAAATTTCTTCAGACCTAGACTTAGCTTCTGAAGTGAAAGGGCTCACCAAACCCTAGTGAAATGGCAATAGAAGGGCCACATTTCAATGGATAGCTTCTTTAGACAGTAAATGTACCCTGGGAAATAAAACAGCTTTCTCCCACTTTACATCTGTTTAATAATCATTGTGCTGTAGTCTGCTGTCATACTGGTAATGCTTCTCGAGCTGTCACTGACAAAGGGCCACTCAAACCCCAGAAGAAAACCTGCTATGCCACCACCGAAGCACCAACCTGCTTCTCCCCAGACTTTATCTGTATCTGCCTGCTGACCCCTGACTTCTACTGGATTGTGTGAGAGGTCCACTGGCAGAGGGCATACTGATAGTAGTTTATACTAATGGAGAAACTAGGAACAAGGATTTCAAAAATCTTTACAGCAACTTGACATACTTCACTTGTCTCTTGAACTTAACAACAATGAAATTAAAAAGCGGAGGTGAAGAGAAAGCACTTGATCCCCACGAGTTTTGTTTCATTGTTTGTTTTGAAAGTCAGGATTGGAAGCAAGCTTATAATGCCAGCACTGGGGAGGCAGAGAAGGGCAGATGTGTGGGGAACACACATATGTACACATATACACACATACACAATTGCATGGGAGGGCTGGAGTAGCCATTTATCACTGAAAGTTTGAGAATCCTTTAGGATACAGCAGACTGGCACAATGGTTACTAAACGTGTAATTTTTATCTCCCAGGGCACATCTGCTGTCTGAAGACAACTGCAGTTGTCCTGAATGGGCTGGATGCAGGCAGCCTCTAGTGGGTAGAGATCAGGCACACTTCTATACTTCCTACAACATGAAAAGTAACAACCCTTCCCACTCTCAGAGAGTTATCCAGTCTAAAGTGTCAATAACACCGACTTCAACAGATCCCGGAATGGCATTTAGTACTGCTCAAAGAAGTCAAATAACCAGAGAGACATCATTCACCAAACAGGATGAAAACATCTGAAGAAATTTAAAGTCTTGATTAATGTGTCATTCATAATCTACCAGAGAACTACACTGGTGAAAGGACAAATAAAAAGACCTTATAATATCACCAACTCAATGTCTTTTCTCTTTTCTGAAAATCTAGGAAAACACAATAAATACATCAGTAGGGTAAAAAACCTCTTGTTTAGCCCTAGAAATTTTGGGAAATATACTGCCCATTTAAAGAAATTAGGGAATAAGGCAAATAAAAGTTAGGGGAAGGTGTTCTTTTAGTCTTGCTTACAGATGGTTAAAAAGTACCATTCTACAGTCAACCTGCTCCCAAGTCATCATCTCTTCTACAAAACAGGCAAAGTAGTTTCACTTTTCAACAATGCATCACCAAAGTACTAATTCCCCAACTCACATTTCTAACCTTCCCTATTTTCTGAGCCCCAAACATACATGTGTGTGTAATATCCAGAGCCTAAATCCTCAGTCACCCAAAACACGAACACATACTCTCTTACCAAAACTACTTGCTGCCTCTCCTTTACTCCCTTCCACTTTTTCAGACTCGACAGCTGACTATGGACTGTCCACTACCACGTACCAGACAAATGTGACCCTAAGTGGAAGACATCATCCGTGACAAGACTCTCTGATGATGCTGTACTATCAGTAGCTAGCTGCCTGTCAGGGGTCTGACATTAGAACATTGGAGAAGGCATGGGGGGGGGGGGCGGTCCAAACCCAGAGGCGCAGCCTAGGGTAGGCGCATGCATGGCTCTCCTATTTATAGCGATGACCGGGCAGCCCAGCCAAAGGCTACTCCGCTTGCTGCCCGCTAATATCTAATCATAAAGTCAATCCACAAAGCCGTTTCAGCACCACCGTTTCGAGACTGGTGGCAAACTTTTGGGGCTGTCACTAGAGACCCCCACCCCTTTTTTCCCCCCCTTCGGAGTCTTAGACGGGGCACGACCGGCTCGAGCACAATTCGCCAGCTCCTCTGGCGAGCCTTCACCTTGGGCTGCCCGGGGCGGGCGGCAGACCCGCCACCCCGCCCTCAGAAGGGCACGAACAACCGGTTCCGCCCGGAGCCCTAAGGCAAACTCCGATGCCCCGCGGGGCCCAGGTCACCGGTGACCTCGGGCCAGGCAGGCCGTGAAGGTGCCAAGGGCACAGGGCTGCTCCCGCCCACTAGAGCAGGGGTGGCGGCGGAGCAGCCCTGGAGCCGTGAGGAAACCCACGAGCGCGGTCCCAAGAGGCCACGCCGGCCTGGTCCCCCCTCCCAGTCACCTTGCACTGCGTCCCGAGCTGCCAGAGCCGCCGCCGCCGCCGCCGACACCGTTCCACTTCCGGCCCTGGCCCCGCCCACGCACGCCTACCCGCCGCCGCAGTGCATTATGGGCCGCCGCTTCAGTCGTTCGACGCTCACCGGACAGGAAGCGCCTCGGAGACAGTCTGCGACCGGACGCCTCTAGGTGAGACAGAAGCCAGACAGGAGGAGGAAGTGGAGGGTAAGTGCTTCCGGGTCCCTTAGCCAAGACTCCGCCATCTTCCCTTCCCTTCCCTTCGCCCCTATTTCCCTCCTGGGAAACAGTGCACTGTACGCATGCGTGCTTTGTCCTCTCTCGCTCCTAGTTCAAGCTCCCTTCCGCGTCAGCGTCTTGTTGCTTGGGGCTGGGAGGGGGTGGGGAGGGGTGGATGCAGCGGGGTGGGGGAGGGAAGGGAAAGCGAGCGCGTTTAAAAAAAAAAACAAACCAACCACAAGAAGAAGAAGAAAAAAAAAAACACCAAGCGGCGTGGGGCGTTTGTGCCTCGTGAGCCTCCGTTGCGGCGGGCGTTCGTGTCGCGCACCCTGCTGGGAGTTGTAGTTCCGGGCCCAGGGGTGCCTGGGAGGCGGGAGAGGGGCTGGGGTTCCTGAGCGCCGATTCCGCGGGAAGGGCCCCGGGGCCTCTGAGTGTGCGAGTCGCGGGAGCGGCGCGGCTGACCCGGACAGGCGCTGCACGTGGAGCCCGCGCCGCCGCCGTTCCCAGCCGGCTGTGGAGCGCGGCCGAGGGCGGGCCACGGGCCGGATTCCGGAGCTGGTGAGTGCGGCCGCGGGCCGGCGGGGGAGCGCGGGCCCGCGCGGCCGGCCTGGTTCCGGGGCTTCTTCCCCCCCGGCGCGGCCCCCCCGCGGCCGCCTCTGTGTTTTGTTTCCGCTGGTCCCCGGCGTCGCGACTCCCATTTCCGTTCGTGGAGACTTGAGGGAGCCGGGTGGGGAGGGGCGGGAGAGGCCGTGCGGGGAGCCGAGCCGAGGGGAGGGGCGCGGGGAGCCGGGAGCGCCGCGGTCCGGGCCCGCGCCGCGCGGCGGGACGCTGCGCGCGCTGCAGTCCTCGTAGTCCCGGCTCCCCCGGGCGTCGGCCTCCCCGGCTCCCCGGCTCCCGCACTCCACATGCAACTGTCCGAGACTTGCGCCCCTGCCGTCATACTGATCTTTACGTGCCTCTCTGTTCTTAGAGGAAGAAGTCAGTAAAGGTTCATGTAGCTTGCCCGCTCCCCCCCCCCTTTGTCGTCCGTCGGTGTAGTGCAGTGACCCCGACGATGGCGTTTCAGGGTGCCACCCCGGGGTTAACAGCAGAGAGAGTGCTGCCAGTGCAGCGTTTCTGGACGATGAGTAGTCTTTTGCAAACAAACCCGTAGGTTCGGCCAGTGGGATGATGGCTCGACAGGAAAGACACTTGCTGCCGAGCCTGCCTACCTAGACTTCAAGCCCCGGAACTCAAGTGGCAGGAGAGAGCTGACCGAGCTGACCGCCACCGTCTGCCCTCTGACCACCACATGTGCACACATGCACATGCACGCTAACATATCTCACTGTCTAGCCCCGGCTGGCCCCAGACTTGCTTTTTAGACTAGGCTGGCCTACAATGCAGGGGGTCTGTGCGCCTCTGCTTTCTGAGCGCTGGCATGAAAGCAGTTCACTACCATGCCTGGCAATAAGTAAGTGTGATGTTTAAAACCCCATATGTAGTTGGAAGTAACAGCGGGTCCGAATGCTGCCCAGAGCAAAGGATTTGAACAGATTGACCGCTGTGGCATTCTTAGGTACTCCACGACATAGTGACCCCCTCTTTAGCACCTTTTCTTTCTCCTTACGTGTATGCCGAGTGGACCTACGCCCATCTTACCACAGATGTGTATCTTGGGTACAGGGTCATGAAGTAGTGAAGTAAGTACTGAGATGTTAAGTTGGAAGTGTTAGGAGAGCAAATAGGGCCAAGGACTGAAATAACAAACACTGTTCACCAGAGTCTTTTGGCAAAACAAAAAAACAAACAAAAAAAAAAAAAAAAAAAAAAACCTCGGAGTCTTCAGAACTGAAAAGAAAAATGATAGTTCACCTGAAGACGGGTCTTTGGCTTTTAACCTTTCATCAGATTTGGTTTTTGCTCTTCACACTTTTCCTAATGTTGACTGCATTTTCTAGGAAATGCACAATACAACGTGAATAAATGTCATTTTGCAGTGATTTGTGCCTGTGCATGTCTTCATATCCTGAATTATTTTAGTTAGCTTTTGTGTGAATTTCCTATTTCTATGTCATGCTTTGCCAACTCTGCGTAGTTTGTCCCAGATTGTATTTTCTCTCTTTGGTTGTTAATTAACGATGTTTGGGCTGTTCCACTTGATGGTCACTTTCAGGTGCTGTAGGTGTCTTTTCTGTTCTCTAACTTGTGCATTAAACAAGGATTTTAACCTATGCAACCGGATCGGACTTTTAGCTAGATAGTTGTATCCATCTCCCGTGTTCACCTTTACGTTTGAATCCACGTTGCTTTAATATAGTTGCTGTAACTTCCATTTGCCTTTGTAGTGTCTTGAATGAATTACTGACTTAGACTGGGCTAGCAAAGTTCCAGTGAAATCACTATATCAGGCTGATAAATACCAATTTAAACAAAACTAGTTTATTAATGCTGCAGATGAGCCTTCAAGTATATAAAGAACACTTCTCTGCTTTACCTCAGATTTGCTCGTTTTTCTTGCATATCATTTTTGCTTATACACATGATGTTTAAAAAAAATCTCATCTCTTTAAAATGTAACTCTTCCAGGACTGACCGTTTGAAATACTTCAGCCATGACTAAGAGAGAAGCAGAAGAACTGATAGAAATTGAGATTGATGGAACTGAGAAACCAGAGTGCACAGAAGAGAGGTCAGCATTTCTGAACTGATCAGTTTTCAATATTACTGGTATGCCAGATTACAGTCAAGGACCGGGCCTATATGTTTATTTTTGTTCCTCCCCTCCAACTTTAATAGAATGAAAGGCACTTCTGAAATATAAGGAGTAGTAAATGTACTTGATAATGATCACACAGTTATAAAAGCTGGCCTCTAACGCCATCTAAAAGGCATTTCTTTGATTTTTTTTTTTTTTTCCTCTTTAATTCTTGTATTAAAGGCTGGTCATTCTTATTTCAAAGACAGTTTAATTCAACCTGAATTTAACATTGGTTATTTATGAATGGCTGCTGTATATTGGTAACTGACGAGAATAAAATTAGTAAAATAAGACATTTTAAATGTCCTTATGAAGGTCTCATTGTGTTTGAGGAGACATACTGGTCTAGGATCACCTGTGTGCACAGGACTGAGCATAACAGTAAAAGTGTTGCTTTTTGGAATGACAATGGAGTCTTATTACTTGAAAGGGGGTAGTGATGAATTCAGAATCAAGGGAGAGATTCTGATAGAAACAGATTGGGAAAAGTCAGTGAGGAGGTTGTAGGAGATGATAAAGCTGGAGACAGGATTAATATACTGAAGCTAATTGGGGCTGAAAGGTCATGGTGGACTCTATGGAGTAGCAGAAGACAAGCCACTATGACATAGATATAGAGGATGCTGAGTTGAGAAGACAACTGAGATTTAAAACTTCAGTGCTAAAGAGCTTTGGATTTGTTTGTCCTTTTCTGCAGCAGCAGAATAGAATGCATGCTTCTCTTAAACACACACACACACACATATCACTGATGAGCGCTTCAGAGAGTCAAGAACCTAGGAACAGCATCGCTGGGTGGTTTTGATCTGGATCTATAGTGTCTTCCCCAAAGATCACTCTTGATATTGTTGGCAGGCAGCCTCAGTGTGTCCAGCAAGCCTTTCTCTAGGGCTTTTCAGATAGTCTGAGAGGATGCCAAGGTAGAAACCAAGGTGACTTTTAAAATCTCAGCCTAAAAACCTATAGCATTTGGCCACACAGCTCAACCCTGGTTCAGGCAAGTGAGATCACAGGCCTTTGCAGGTATCTGGGTGGTTGGTTGCATTGTAGGAATTGAGAAACAAAAATGTGACATCATTCACATTTCTTTGAAAGAAGCTGCTTATTAAGATTTTTAGATTTCCCAAGGTTTATAAGTTTGCAACAGGAAATGTTGCTATTCATAGATGTGAAATTTTAGAATCTGATTTTAAGTTGCATTTTTGGATCTTTTAAAAATCATTATTACTGAAAAGAATAGGCTTCTGTGCTTATAGCTGAAAAATATGCTGAAAGGGCTCACTTAGTCAAAACAGAGAACATTCTTTGTATTGAGCAAGGATAATCATATACTATTATTTTAAAATATACTGTTTTAAATCATGAGTGGTTCTGTCTTATAAATGTTAATTATTTTAAGAAGGAATGTGTTATATATATTCACTTAAATATGTATGTATATTATTATACTTGGAAGATATGTAAAAATAAAATGACAAATTGTGTATGTGTACACACTCATGTACTTAGGCATGTTTGTATGTGTTGAATGTGGATGCCTACATGCCACAGCATGTGGAGGTCAGCCTGAGGTGTTGGTCCTACCATCGAGTTTGTTTAAACAGGTATCTAGTGTCTGCCACTGCACAGGCCCACCCAGCTAGCCTGGGGTGGGGGGGGGTTCTCCTGTCTTACCACTGGCAAGGTGTGTACTATCACACCTCTCTTTACATGGGTTCAGGGGCCAAACTCTGGTCCTCACGGAGTACAGCAAGTGCTACCCTCCTGAGCCATTTCCCTATCCTAGCTGCTCACTCACGTTTCATTTTATTAGAAAATTTCATTTTACTTATTTGTCTGAGGGTGAGTATGTGCAGATGAGTTCAGGTAGGAGCAGAGGTAAAAGCATCAGGTCATCATGCAACTGGAGTTTTAGGTGGGTGGGTGTGAGCCACCTGATGTGGGTACTCAGAACCAGGTCATGCCCCAGAGTACTCTTAACCACTGAGGTATATCTCTAGTTCCCACTTCACACTTACTTTTAATATGTATTTTTAATAACTATAAAGAGATTTACATCATATTTAAAGTAAATGTATTGTGAAACTTCAGTAAATACTATTTTCTCAGTCTTTGTTTTCCAATAAGCATTTACAAGAGGAATGTACAATTACTTAAGGCTTTAAACATATTGGAATTGTGAAAAAACAATGCAAAAGAGCTCTAAGTAAGTTTTAAGGGGCAATATAATTTTCTAAGACCAGCCAGGCAGTAGTGGTACAAGACTTGGTACAGCACTTGGGAGGCAGAGGCAGGTAGGGCTCTGAATTCCAGGCCAGCTTGGTCTATATGATGAGTTCCAGGACAGCTAAGGCTATGCAGAGAAACCCTATCTCAAAAACCCAATAATAATAATATGGAGTGAGGCTAATTATAATAATTGTATAGTATTCAAGTTAAATTGGAAGTACTTATATTGTTATAAATACTTCAGTTTATATTTACTACGTAATACTGGGAAGGAAATTAATTAGTAGAAATGATGTACAAAATTTTGGTTTGATTTTCTTTGGTTTTTATATGGGGTTTTGAGATACAGGCTCATATAACCCAGCCTGGTTTCTGTTTCCCCATGGAACTAAGGTTGACCTTGAAGGGATCCTCCTGCCTCTTCTTCCCTAGTGTGACTATAAGCTTGTGTGCCATCCCAACAGGGTTCTCAGCATTTTAAGGACACAATGGATTGCAATGTCTCTGAGTCTTAAACTCGTGAAAATAATTTGAAATGTAATAAAGGCACCCATTTCCCCTTAGATAGTATACATCCAGCACTTATTCATGTGCTGGCCCATAAATCTGTATGCATAACTGAGCATGTTTTTAAGAATGCTTTAAATTTCAAATTAACTATAAGATTTGGTATTCCTATTGCCGTTAGTCAGTGAGTCTAACACAGAATCAAAGAAGAAATTAGTTGAGAACACAGAAAGAAAAGATTTTCAAAGACCACAGGTGTTTTTGGTATTAATTTTGTTTTGTGCGTCATGTTACCTTCACATCCCAGTGACATGTAATTATTAACCTTTATCTCCATTAACATTTAGCATTGTGGAACAGACCTACGCCCCAGCTGAATGTGTAAGCCAGGCCATAGACATCAATGAACCAATAGGCAATTTAAAGAAACTACTTGAACCGAGACTGCAGTGTTCTTTAGACGCTCATGAAATTTGCCTGCAAGACATTCAGGTAAGGTTTATCTCTGTAGATATCTATGAATAGACTAGACCTATGATCTAAAATGTGAGCATTTAGAAATGAATATTCTTTCAGCAAACTTTCGGTACCTAAAATTGAAAGATTGAGTAATAAAATGGAATAGAATGAACAAGTCACCCCCCCCCCCATATCCTCTCCCTAGATAGTACAGTCCTAGTACTCTGATCCACAAACCACTCCACCCAGAAGCTGCCCTATCCTCACTCTGTGTCCTACTGGGCCACTGCTCCACTGTTCTGGTTGAGCACTGGGCCAAAGTGCGGGTCCAACAACCCCTCCACCTCAGGGGAACTTCCTGGATCTGCTCTGAGTACACTGGACCCGCCTATCCACAAGGGACCACCCTGAGTCCCTGCCTGCCTATTCTTTGACCCCTATCGCAGGGCCTCTGCTGCAGGAGAGACTTTCTAGAGAGCTTAGACCACCCAGAGTTACAGACATCGAAGTCCTGACCCAACTATGCCCACCTGGAGAATGGGGGGGGGGGGGGGAGAGCGATGGGAAGACAGCAATACAAGAAAACAGCAGATTCTAGGGACTCTACACCAACTAGACCTGACCACACCAAAGCAGAAGAAGCAGAAGAGAACAATTAAAAAAGTAACTTCATAAAAATGATAGAGGCCCTCAAAGATGATATGAGAAAATCCCTTAAAGAAGTGGGGGAGGAGGGGAAATGGAAAAAATAAAAACCAAGCAAAAAAATGCAAGAAATGAACAAATCTCTTAAAGAAAGTAAGGAAAGCCAAGAAAAAACATCAAACAGATGAAGGAAACAACTCAAACAGTTCAAAACTTTAAAACTGAAATAGAGACAATAAAGAAAACACAATCTGAGGGAATGCTGGAAATAGAAAAACTGGGCAAACGAACAGGAACTACAGATGCAAGTGTAAGGATGGAAAAATACAGCCTAACTCTCCAATGACCCCCCAGGAAGCCAGAAGTTTAAAAATACTACCTAAAAAGCCCTAAATACCTTAAATTCCAGACCCTGTCCTCTGCCTGTAAATAGGTGAAAGGTATAGGAGTCTGCACAAATGCAAAACTCTGGGGCTGTAGAAAACTGATGAGTCTATAAAGCACAGGCTTGGATGATTTAAAATGATTGGTCTAAAAACTATAAATTGGTTGAAATTGATTGGCCCGCACCTCACAGGCTCTTAATGCTATGAGATGATTGGTTTACGATGTGCAGGCTTTGTTGTAAACCCTATAAAAGTTGTCTCAATTCTGTACTCGGGATCCTCAGTCCTCTACCCCTGTATGGCATATGACTGTGGACCCTAGTGCACTTGGAATAAAAAGTCCTCTTGCAGTTTGCATTAAAACTGCTTCTCGTGAGTAATTTGGGGTATTGCCTTTCCTGAGTCAGAGTGTGAAGGTCTACACTCTGAGGGTTGTTACAAGTAGGTTTTCCCTGCCGGCCTGGACCCACTGCGGCGCCAGCCCCATTTAATACACAGAGACTCTGTATTTGATATAATTCTGTTGGCCAGTTACTAGTTTCTTATCAGCTAGCTTAAGTATTAACCATTTCTATTAATGTAAGTATTTCCACGTGGTCTTATACACAAGAGAGGGGGCCAGCGGTTCTGCTCTCTCCTGCCTCCATGTTGACTCCTCCTTACTACTTCCTCGAATCCTCCTTGTCTCCTAGTCCTGCCTATCTTGCTTTCCTATTGGCCAACAGTGATTTATTCATTAACCAGTATGAGAAACATATTTACAGAATGACATCTCCCATCATCTCCTCTTTTCTGTCTAAATAAAAAGAAGGGTTTACAAGCATAACCAACAATACAGGAGATCGAAGAGAGGAACTCAGGCACTGAAGATAAACTAGAGGAAATAGATTCATCGACCAAAGAAAATTTAAATCCAACAAATTCTTAACATAAAACATCCAGGAAATGTGGGACACTGTGAAAAGGCCAAACCTAAGAATAAAAGGCATAGAAGAAGGCGAAGAAGCCCAGCTCAAAGGTGTAGAAACCATATTCAACAAAATCATTGAAGAAAACTTTCCCAATCTGAAGGATATGACTATGAAAGTACAAGAGCATACCAAACACCAAATAGACTGGACCAAAGAAAAACGACCCCTTGACACATAATAATCAAAATACCTAACATACAGAATAAAGAAAGAATATTATGAGCAGCAAAGGAAAAAGGCCAGGTAACAAAGGCAGACCTATCAAAATTACACCTGACTTCTCCATGGAAACTCTCAAGGCCAGAAGGTCCTGGGTAAATGTTCTGTAAGTACTAAGAGTCCACAGATGCCAGCCCAGCCTACTATACCCAGAAAAACTCTCAATCATTATAGAAGGAGAAAACAAGATATTCAGTGACAAAGCCAGATTTTCACAATACATATCTACAAATCCAGCCCTACAGAAAGTTCTGGAAGGAACATTCCTCCACTGCTGATGGGAGTGCAAACTTGCACAGCCATTTTAGAGATCAGTATGGTGGTTCCTCAGGATAATGGGAAATCAGTCTACCACAGGATCCAGCAATTCCACTCTTAGGCATATACCCAAATGATCCACAATCATGCAACAAGGACATCTGTTCAACTGTGCTCATCGCAGCATTATTTGTAATAACAAGAACCTGGAAGGAACCTAGATGCCCCTCGACTGAAGAATGGATAAAGAAGATGTGGCACATTTACATAATGGAATACTAATCTGTGGGGAAAAAAACAATGGAATCTTGAAATTCGCAGGCAAATGAATGGAACTTGAAGAAACCATCCTGAATGAGGTAACCCAGTCACAAAAAGAAGAACATGGTATGTACTTACTCCTATATGGATTTTAGACATAGAACAAAGGATCACCAGCCTGTAATTCACACTGCCAGAGAAACTAGGATACAAGGAGGAACCTAAGAGATTCATACAAGGTCCCTCACAGAAGGGGAAAGGGACAAGACCTCCTGAGCATATTGGGAGTCGGGGGTGGGGTGGGGTGTGGTGGGACAGTGAATGGAGAGGGAGCTAGAAGGAAGGGAAGGGGAGGAGAGGAAAGCACGTGGGAATAGGAAGATTGAGGCAGAGGAGGAATAGACGAGAGCAAAAAAGAGAGAGAGAGAGAGAGAGACCATAAAAGAGGGAGCCATTATAGGTTTGAAGAGAAAACTGACTCTAGAGAAATGTCCAGAGACCTACAAGACTGACCCCAACTAACAATCTGAGAAACAGTGAAAAGGCCCTTCCCTGATGAGATCCACCATCATATAGAGCCCTCATCTAGTAGCTGATGGAAACAGAAGCAAAAACACCCACAACCAAACACTGAGCCGAACTAGAATCCAGAGGCAGAGAGAGAAGTGATAAGAAAATGGGGACAAGACCAGGCTGCAGAAACCCACAGAGACGGCTGACCTGAACAAGGGGGAGCTCATGAACCCCAGACTAATAGCTGGGAAACCAGCATTGTACCGACTCAGGTCCTCTCTACTTGGGTCTCAGTTAGAAGGCCTGAGCAGTCTACAGGACCTCTGACAGTGGAACCAGGATGTATCCCTGGCGCACAAAAGGACTTTGGGAGCACATTCCCCATGGAGGGATACTCTCTTAGCCTAGAGGCAGGAGGGGGGGCCTAGTCCTTACTTCAAATGACTTGACAGGTTTTGTTGACCCCTTGTGGAAGGCATCACCCTCCCTGGGGAGTGTTGTGGGGGGAATAGGATGGGAGAGTGGTTGGGGGCATGGGAGGGAGGGAGAGGGAACTGGGATTGATATGTAAAATAAGAAAAATAAATAAATTTAAAAGAATGAACAAGTCACTCATTCCATTTTACCTTTGTGAGTGAAATCAAATCAGACTAAAAGCAGAGTGGTGGGAAGCACAAAAGGTGTTTGTGCTGACTTAACTTTGATGTGAGTTTACCTTAGATGAGGCCATTGACTAAAGTGTGTTTCCTTTGCATCCTCTCTGGTAGTAAATTTGAAGTATTTCCCATTGTAGCATTATGGTATGTTTTCAAACAGATTTATTTTACATTTTTTCCAAGAGATACTACTTCAGTGTGTAAGAATAGTAACTGAAGTAAGATTATGGACATAGTTTTCATGACTGTTCTTGACTCACAATAACTATTAGTGTTGTACATTTTTCTACATAATATATGAATGTATTTTTTGTCATTTTTTAGATTGATTGCTTTGCCTTATTCTTGGCTGTAATCTTCATACCTGTCTTGTGATATCATTTTTCCATATATTACAGAACATTGCCTTGGTATTTTAAAAACTCAAGACCTCTGTACCTACTGTTAAACTTTATTCTGTTATATAATAAATTGAAATGTGTTTATAGAATTTATGCACTAGTTGCTTTTGACCATATTTTAATTTTTCATTCAATATACACATAGTAAATGTTAATGGTGATTGGATATTGCTCTTCTAAAATTAAGGACTATCGTTGTATCTACTTAACGCAACATATTAAATTTTCTTCTTAGTAGTGAGAAGATAAATACCATATTAGGTATTTTGAAAGCAGTTGATACTTAGTATCTTATTAAACATGTAAAATACCCAACAGTTCTACTTCAAGGAATTGTTCTTACATTATGCTTAGCTGAATGGGTAGTAGGATATGTACAAAGATCCTAAAAGTAAATCTTTTACAGCAGAATATTCAATACCTAAATTCAGAATTCAAAGTAGTCACTAAAAGTGGTTAGCTAGAGCAGTAAGGACATTTTGAGTTAAACATTTACAAAACACTTCCAAATGATTTCATTTCATTGTATCAATCACTAACACTCATTTTGTTAATTATTACATTCTGTAATGATAAATAGAAAACCTGGCCTCATAATGAAATATGGCCTTTGAAGTACCTATTCTCTCATAGTTTCTGGATAAGGTGAAGTATGTGTAAATATGGCATCATCAGCTTAAGGGCTACGCTTGGATGTGTGGATGTTTCACAACCCTCCTAGCACCTTTCCTCGGCTGAACAAAGAATGTGAGCATGGCAGCTTCAGTTTCTCATGTCAGTGCAAACATGAATTTGGCATTAGTACCCGATGCTAATGCCAACGTGAAAGCTGCTGGAGTGATCACTGAGTTGTGCTTCTTTGAAGAATACCTTACACAATCAACCTTGCTGGAACCTTGTCCTTATGTGTCCTTGGGTCTGTGTACTGCCGTATTTTTTAGGACCTGAGAGCTAACTTTTCAGAATATGTAGGCCATAGTTACTAATGTCCTCTAGACCTGGAGGAAATCTTGGTGTTCAGAGAATTTTTAACTGTCAAGCAAAGGTTTACATTAATGAGTAGAAACTGCCACATTTAGCCAATCCAGTGTGCTACAGAGTTTTGTTCCTGTTCAAATTGGTTATAGTACACTTAATACTGAAGGTTTTATGTATAAGACATTGTAAATAATTGAAATTGTGATTGTACTTTGACTGAATTCTTGGTAATGCTAGTGAAAGGGGAATTTGTGTGTTCAGCAACATATATGCAGATATGTAAGGTGTTTATGACGGAAGCCTGTTCCAAGCTAGTGACACAATATCAGAGGCAAAATTATTTTTACTTCATTAATAAGCCATGGTAGGAAATGCATTTACTAGGAGATATGAAGGAAAAAAAGCATCGCTGTCCCTAGAATATGGCATTATGACAAAAGTAGATCTAGTAGTCAGGTCATGAATCCTTTAATTGTATTAACTTTGTGATCAGAAACTTTAGGGTGAATCCTAAATTTTAATATGTAGCATTAATTACAAGGGAGATAGGGCATGAATATGTTAGTAAATTTAGATAAATTGTCAGCTACTAATTAACATCCTTCCTGATTTGATACACATTGCATTATCTTGTACTTTAAATGCATTTGCAGAATGAAGAATTGCATGTTTTTGTTACTTAAGCTCTCAGCTGAGATTGCAGAACTCCCATAGAAAACTGCCACTTAAAGTAATTTTGCAGCAGCAGGGAATGGCTGTAGAATGTCTGCCTTGCGTACAAGAGAAGGCCTTCCCTGACTGAAGTCCTCAGCACCAGCAAAATAGAAAAATTAATTTGGAGGGGTTTGCTGTCTTCCATTACTTCCACAGTAGTGAAAATATTTTTAGTTTTAGCAAATAAATAGTATGAAAGTTTTGATACTAAATGCATTATTATAATTTAATTAGTATGCTCATAAATTATTCCCTGTTTGGTATGCTGGTTTACACTAAGCCATAGATGGTAACCTATCTAATGACTGAGCTAAAATAATCTTATTTATTCTTACCTGTGGTTAGCTGGATCCAGAGCGAAGCTTGTTTGACCAAGGAGTGAAAACAGACGGAACTGTACAGCTCAGTGTACAGGTAATCTCTTACCAAGGTAAGTTACTTTCCTTGGCAGGCATCTAAAACTGGAGCTAGTGTTTTTCTCCTAAGATAACTTGAATCTGTGTGTTTGCGGTATTTAACTGGAGTGATCCTACACTCAGGCTTTGTTTAGTACTTCTATCTTCAGGATAAGGCTGAAAGTGTTATCACTTTTCACCAGAATGAGATAGTGTTGTATATTGGAGTGTAATAAATACCAGAACCACACCATAAAGAGCTATTTCTTCTAACAATTTTTGTTCTTTTGAGAATTTCATTTTATTTTTACCATATTTACCCCACTCCTGCCCTTAACAGTTTAATTTTAATAAATATTGTATCTTATGTACAGTTTTATACCATTGTTCTTAGGGTATAATTTCTAAATGTAATTCTGATTTCTGAAATAGCTTTAAGTTTTTGCCTAAGGAGTTTCCATAGAGATAAATTACTTACCTCAACTTTGTTTCTCTTCTTTCCACAAGAATGGAGTTCGAACAATAATAATAGGACTTGGCTATCTTTAGGGTTTGTGTTAATTAGTGTGAATTTACTTGAACAAATCAGCGCGTGATTAGGATGGAAGACAAGGACTGAGGAGGTGGACTCAGTCTGTACAGTGCTTGTGAGTGAGCCTAAAGACCTGAGTTCAGATCCCAGCACCGTGTAAAACTGGACAAGTGGTTCTTCTTACCTTTAAGGCCAAAGCAGGGAAGGAAAAGTCCTTGGGGCTCACTGACTTCCCAGTCAGTGGAACATCCTGACTCAGCACATAAGGGGGAGAAAGATAGAGGAAGAGGGCCCACGCCAAAAGCTCTGGCTTTCGTGTGTGTGCTTACACTTGCGTGCATATACACACACTAGAGTAAAAAGAAGACAAACAGAGCCAAGCATACTAGTTAGTAGTCCCAGCACTTGGAAAGCAAAAGCAGTGGATAGGAATTTGAGTTATCTTAAGCTCTGTGGTGAGTTTATTGCTACCCTGGGCTTCATGTGATCCTGTCTGTCTAAAAGAGAAAGAGAACAGAGTCTCTCATTTTAACTTCCTTAGAAAGTTTGTAAAATCTTGAAGCATGTGCATACTCATATGAATTCTGGTGTAGATCACCTCTTTTGTACTACAGTTGTAAGAAATGGCACTTTTTTCCCATGTGGCATATGTAGGTAATGTTTATCAAGTGTGTTCAGGTGTGAATTATTGCTAAAGCTTGGAACACTAGGCTAAAGAATTTTTAGATATTCTTTGCATGTGTGTTAAATTTTATTACATTCCCTTTTACTTCAAGCACACATTTTATTTTCCAACTATTTCAGAATAAATTGCAGACATGATTATTTTCTATGTTGTAGGTGTCTGTGCTGCCTTTAAAAACAAGGGTCCAAGACTGGGTTACAGCCCAGGACTAGAGTGTTTACCTCTTATGTGTGTGGTCCTGTGTTTGATCTCCAGCACTCAGTAAAACAGTGCTCGAGCACTCTTCTGTGTGATCACATGACACAGTACTGTTGACATGGTACTGTTTCTGTTAAATTGTATGTATTTAGAAATAAGAATCTATTCGGTTTCTTGCTGTTTCAAGAACATCAATTTTTTGTTGTTGCTGATTTGTTTTCTTTTATCTCATTTGGAAACATGAACTTTTCTACTAGCTCCTTGTGTCTTATGGTTTTATTTAAATGTGTATTTTTGTTTCTATCCACTGTTAGGAATTGAGCCAAAGCTAAACATTCTTGAAATTGTTAAAACTGCGGAAACTGTTGAAGTGGTCATTGATCCAGATGCCCACCATGCAGAAGCAGAAGCACATCTTGTGGAGGAAGCCCAAGTGATAACTCTTGACGGCACCAAGCATATCACAACTATCTCTGACGAAACCTCAGAACAAGTGACGAGATGGGCTGCTGCCCTGGAAGGCTACAGAAAAGAGCAGGAGCGCCTTGGCATCCCCTATGGTAATGAGACCGCTGTTGGCTGGGTGCAGTAAGACTTAAATTAGAGTAGAAAATACCACTTGGATCAGATAGAATAGTTTTTACTGTAGGCATACTAGAAAGATTACTGGTTTTTATATGTTTAGTTAGTTTTGAAGTGTAACATACTAAGAACACATGAACACATACTATGCTGATTGCTTGGGAACAATTATTACAAAGAATATTAGAAGAAAATCCGCCCATAGCATGTTCACAGTGTAGTTGAAGAAAAAGAAGATTTTTTTAAAAAGTGACTCGAAGAAAGGTTCATCTGTCAATAACTAATACAAACAAAGCATGTCTTTAGAACCTTAAAGAAATCAAGCTGAATGGAGTTGAGGCAATAGTGCATGAATTCAGGGCAAGCTCAGGTTATGTAGCAGATAGGCCCTTTCCCAAAAAAGACAAGTAAAGATGTCATGAGGATCAGAGTACTCTGAAGAAGGTAGGAGCAGGTTTATTCTGAGACATTGCTGCCATGAAGACCACTTCAAACAGGAAACATCCAGAACAAACCTTAGACTTGGGTGACTACAAGAGTTTTTTCTGACATCGTAGAACTATTTTCAATTCATTAGGAATAAAGCATGAAAAACATTAGTGGATTAGTGGGTTCCATCGCAGGCGAGGGTGACCAAGGTGGGGGGCGGGGGGGGGGAGAACATGCCAGGCTGACAGAGCTAAATGAGAAGTTTTGTTAGAAAGGAAGGGGTGGGTAGGGGGCGGCAGGGGGTAAAGAGACACGGAGACAAAAGGGACAGAGAAGAGGGAGACAGGAAAAGTCCTGTCTGCCCCAGAGGAACAGTGGGAAACAGAGCAAAGGGGGCGGAGGTCTTTCTTTTTTTAAAGGGGTCCTTTGCACCTGGGCTGACCAGGGTACTGCCTGAGTTCATTCTGCCAAGTGACGGTAGCGAGCCAGCATAATGCCTGGATTCTTACAAAAGTGATAACTAAAAATCTGAATGTCGCCCAGGTGTCCCATAAGGCACATAGTGTCTGAGTGAAACAACATATTCTGGTCATTTATACAGTAGTAATATTGTCCACACTAGCATAGAGAAGGTGGATTCTTTGGTAGTAAAAAGAAAGAGAGGCGAAAACAGGGATAAGGTTGGCAGATTATGACCATGAAAAGAGGACACTCAAGTACTGACCTAACATTGAGAGCTTGAGTGGCTAGGGTGATAGTTTGGATACAAATTGGTTGCATCTTTATTACAGTGGCGCTATGGTAAATTCTGGGTTAATGTGACACACAAGAACAAAAATACGCCTTTGATGACACATCCCTCAACCCTGGAGAGGACTGGCCTCAATGCCTTCTGCTAGCTAGGCAAACACTTGACCTTTAAACTAGATTGCTAATTGCTAGGCATACCTTTGAAAGTCTTTTGAAAGAAGTGGTGATGTCTGGTAAGAGAGAGTGTTGACAACACTGGACTCTGAAGTTAAAGTGCATAATCAGTTTAGGGTGGCCCTGACATAGTTGTAGGAGCACAAACTCTCAGGCCAGGAATACAGATACTGTGTGGAGCTCATTCATACCTACTTTCTGTTTGAAGACAAAAGTTGGATTCTTTTGAGAGAAACACCATGGAGAAGAACACATTATTACAGGTTCCAAGACAACCTGTAGGACAGGGGAAGGAGAAGGGAAACAGGAAAACATTAATGATCCCATGTCTTTAATCCCAGCACTCCATTGGCAGGGACAGGCAGATCTCTTTGAGCTCTGCGCCAGTCAGGCCTTCATAGTCTCCAAAACAAACCCTCAAACCAATGGTATAGCTGAAGGCAGAAGGAAATAACTGTGTGGTATCACTGCTATTGAGGGCAAGCTATAGGCGGTTAGGACTCTTGAGATGTTTTTGAGAAAGGGAAAAATATAAAGTAGCATCTGTTTGGTAATCATAGAATTATTGTTCAATTTGGGTTTAAGTTAAATAAAGCTGAACTGTAGGCAACAACTTAGAAATAAAGAACATTCGTTAGAATTGTTTGAGGCAATAGAGAAGAAAGCATTAGGGAAACAAATTATCATACAGTTGGAGAGTTGGTAGTATGCTCTTAGCACTATTCCCCTAATAATAACAACTTTCAGTATTCAGAGTGCATTAGATATTTTATTTAGACATGGTTTAAGTTACTTGCATTCACCCTTTATGAGTACATATGTTGCCTTAAGAGTCTGAAGAATTTGTTATCCCTGAAGATTGGGGTCCTCCTGGAACCTGTTCTCCACAAATGCCAGGGGATAGCTATATGCAATTCTTTATTGTGATGTGTAAAAATTTACTTTTGGCATGTGGAAGCTAGTGTGGATAGACAGTGTATGTGACCTTCATGATACCAAGTTAGGACTCACCTGTGAGGAAATGCTGAGAAGGGAAGAAAGGGGCGTGAAGACTCTGAATAGTGTTCTTGCAGCATTTGTTGTATTTTCCACATCTTCAGTAGTAGATTTAGAGGAATTAATACATAAAGATACATAGGTAGCAAGATGACTGATTGGCTGTGGCTCGAGGTCCTACCCAGAATGTCATTTGCTTCACAGTACGTTTAAAATACTCGATGAGACTCTTGTCATGAAAGTTTTACCTACTAGACAGTGTCTTAGTTATGGTTTCTATTGCTGTGACCATGGCAACCCTTTCAAAGAAAATATGTAACTGAGGTGGCAGCTTACAGTTCAGAGGTTCAGTTCATTATCGTGGTGGGACAAGATGGCAGATGTGGTGCTGGAGAGGTAGCTGAGAGTGCCACATCTTTCAGGCAACAGGAAGTGGCTGAGACACTGGATGGTACCTCAGAACCCATCCCCACAGTGACACACATCATCCAGCAAGGCCATATCCACTCTAAGAAAGCTACACCGACTAATGGTGCTGTTCCCTATGAGATTATGGGGGGCCAGTTATACTCAAACTACTACATTCCACTCCCTGGCCCCATAAGCTTGTAACAGTATCATAATACAAAAGTTCCCATAGTCTATCACACTCTCAACAGTGGTTTTAAAGTTCAAAGTCTTTTCTGAGATTCATACAATCTCTTAACTATAAAAACCAAACTCAAAAGCAGATCACATACTTCCAACATGTAATGGCACAGGACATACATTACTGTTCCAAAACACAGGGAAAGGAGCATCGTGAGGAACTAAAGCAGGACTGAAATCCATCTGAGCAAATCCAAACTGCACCTCCGTGTCTGATGTCAAAACGCTCTTCAGATCTCCAACTCTGTTCAACTTTGTTGTTTACAACACACTTGTTTCTCTTGGACTGCTTTTACTCCTTGTTAGCAGCTCTCCTCAGCAGGTAACCCACAGCTCTCCTATCTCCAGCATCTTGGGTTCTCCAAGGCAATCCAGGCTTCAACATCACTACTTCAAACAATGGCCTCTTCTCGGCCTCTCCATTCGGGACGCCCCTGACACATCTGATTACATTCAAAATACCACAGCAAACTTACAAATGAGTAATATTTTCTCAGGAAACTCATTTCAAACTTCTCTTTCTTTAACCTACATGCAGTTCTTTGACAAATTTATTAATTCCAGTCACCACTAAAATAGAATTAACTATTTATAGCTACTTTAAATCTCTTTGAAATACTGATCCACATTAGGTAACCTTAAAGTTCACATTAGTATAAACAAGCTTAGACATTTCTTCATTCATGTGGTATATATGTGAATATTTTTTAGTGTTGCCCATTAAACTAATCTGAAGATGAAATTAATAATTGCATAGTAGTTAGAAATCTATCAAAGAGATGGGCTATACAAACTGTTAAAACAATGAAAACAAATTCAGAGTCAAATATGTCTTTTTTTTTCTTTATGAAATATTAATATTTAAATGATAGCTAGGTTGTGATTTGCATTTCTTTTTTTAAAAAAATTCATGTTTTGCACATACTAACATTTAAGAACATATGTAGATTCTTGAATATAAATAATATTCACACAAGAAAATATTAAAGACTGTCTAACTGGCTGTCCAGTTCCATAGCTCTGTCTTCTCCACACTGGTAAACTCTTTTTTTAACTTCTCTCAAGGCCTGATAGAATGATGTTTCCCAGAAGCCAGTGCTGCACCAGCTGCCCTGTTGGCAGGTTCTCTCCTCTAGCTACAACTGTGTTAGACTTATTGCTTTTGTTCATCACCTTGTAGTGAGTGAGACTTAGCTAGCTTCTGTGTATAACAAAGTAAGAGCTTGTTTTTTTCTCATTTTGGTGACTTGGCTGGTGTGTGGTGTGGTGTATATGTTCTTTTGTTGTTGTTGTTGTTGTTGTTTTGTTTCATATTTTGAGATGAAGTCTTGCCCGGGTGGACTTTCTTAGCTTGAGGTCATCCAGCCTAAGCCTCACCAGGTGTTGGAATTGCAGGCACCTGGCTTCCCTTTCTGTTTTACAAACTGCTTTGTAACTTTCATGTAAGTCTGATAGCCTTAGGACTGCTCATTTGTTGTAGATAACTTTGAGGTTTCATAAATTAAAGATTTCCTTCATTTTTGTTATTTGATTAGTTTTTTTTCGTTTGTTTGTTATATTTTATAAGACAGTCTCACTATAGCCCAGGCTATCCTAGAATTCACCAGGTAGCCCAGCTTGTCCTTGTCCTTGTAACAGTGTTTTGATCAGCCTTCTAAGTCTTATTTTTAGTGTACCCCTCTGGCTTTCTTTCTCCTACTTTGAGGGATCGGACGTTAAGTTTTCTCATTCTCGTGTGTATCTGGAAGCAGTCTCCACACGTCTAGCGCTGTCGTTTAGCCTTTATTCCGCGGTAGTGCTGAATCCTCCAGTTCCTGTTTTTGTAGCTTCAGCCTGTTGTTTTACTCCCCACTCTTTCATTCTGTATACAGATTCTCTAGGAAGGGTTTCTTAAAAAGATTTTTGACTTTACTCTTATGATAGTGTCCTAGCACATTAAAATTGACAATTTCACTTTCCTTCTAAGTGTGATGACCCCGTTCCATTGTTGTCCTATAAAACATTCAGAGGCACCTTCGTTCAAGTTCTTAAGCATTGTGGCCTTTTCATTTGCTCTTTGTATCTGGTCTTTATCTTAATTTGGTTACAGTGAGAATCTTTTCCTCCACTGTGTTATGTGTTAGCATTTCTTCGTTGTAATGTATAGTCTTAAAAGAACAATCCCAGTCTACATTAAATGAGTTCCCTCCTCTTCATCCTTTCTTGCTGCCTGCAGTCAGTACAGCTCTGAATGGAGGAGTTCTCACTTTACACTGGGCTACATGTTTGGGTATAGTTTCTCTTAACTAAGTAAGTTGGTTACTGCCCGGCTTATTGTTTTTAAGAGCTAACCCTCCCCTCCAACTCTGTGACTTTGTATTTGGGCTGCTGTGCTTATGCATCTTAAGTTTTTCTCTGTCATGTCACTATTTCCTTTGAGAAAAGAGACAACTACACAGCCAGTTCAGTTGATTAAATGGATGTCCTGATAGTATTTGAGGAAAACAAGAGAGACTTACTTGTTCTTGATAGTTTCTTGTAAATTTGTGTGTAAAGTGGGCTTGCTTGCTTTCATAATTTAGAGGGAGGTGGGCGGCTAACTCAGAGCCATCTTATGTTGGTCTCAGCGTTCCAGAGCTGAGTGCCTTACTCTCTCAGCTCTTATTTGTTGCCTATTCATTCTCATATGCTCTATCCCTTCATCGCCTCCCATCCCATCTCGCTCCCTCTCTCTCCTTTTTTGGCAATAATGGAGGTTGAACCCATGGACTCATGGGTGTTTGACAAGCACTCTACCACTGAGCTATATCCTCAGTTTTTTGTTTTGAGACGTGGTCTCCTTAAATTGTCCAGGCTGGCCTTGAACTGTGAATGACTCCCTGCCACAAGCTCCAGGTAACCCGGGTTATGGGTCTATACCATCAGGCCCAGTATCTGTTTCCTTTATTTTATTCTTTTGTTGTTTCCTTCCTAATCTGCTTTTGCCTGGGCCTTCTTTGGTTCCTTGTTGCCATGCCCCATGCTTCACGTCTTGTTCCTATCCCCTCCCTGGATGCTGTATTCAGTTGCTTCTGCATCAGGAGAACTGTGCTGTAGCCTTTGATTTTATTTTGGCCTGCTGTGCTTCGGGTACTGCTTCTTGGCTGTATCCAGGCATCCTGTGCTCAGATTGAATCATGTCATTTTGCTTCCCTTTGCATTCTTCTGCAAGTTTGTTTTTTCACTACCTGAGATGAGAGCTGACTGTTGGCCAAGCTGCTCTCAAGTCTCCTTAGCCGTTGGGGTTACGGAGTGTGTCACCGCACCCACTATCTTATAAAATTGGCTTTGTCTTCACCCAGGTATATTAATGGACTCTGGTAGATATTTTGTCACCTGGGTGTTGCTGTTTGGTTTTTGTAAGCAGTTATGGCTTCCTGGTTTTACCCTCAGTTGCTTTCCTGTCTCTCTGTGTACATTCAGAGAAATCAAACTTTATTCCCATCTTCCTATACTTTACCCTTCTCTTCTTGCTTTCAATCCTAAATGTTTATTTTTACTATATATTGTTCCTTGAAAAAATTCTGATCGTACTTCTTCACTTATTTTCTTACTGAATAACACCTATTTATTGGGTATATAATCAATGTTATTTGAGTAGATCATTATCTTCATAGAAGAGTGCAGAGTGCCAGTACCAAAATTATCCAGCATTAAGATCCCACAGATAACATTTTCTGTTAGGAGCCAGGAATATAGTGATGTAATCTTTGTATATGCTGGCAATCCTTTTTTTTTTTTTTTTTTCCCTATTTTCAAATTAATTTAGCTTTATAAAAACAAAAATAACAGATGAAATACGTTGGGTATTCTTTGTGTAAAGTCAACAAGATGTCTGTTCAAGGCACTGTGATAGACTCTGAAGTCAGATTTTCAGACAGTCTCTGGAGTTACAGCCGTGATGCCAGTGGGGAAACAGCAGAGTGGAGAGGTAGTCAGAATACCCTATCCTAAGTGCCACCAAGTGTGAGGGCAAGGTAGCTAACCTTCTATTGGACGGGACGGAGAAAAGGTGCATTGTGCACAGTTTTGGAGAGTAATGCCAGCTCCCTAGGGTCCCGTGGAATTTTTTTTCAAGGCACCAAACCATGCAGTGCTACAGAATAGTATTTTGAACTTGGGCAGTACCCTCCATTACCTCCAAGATACTTCAGTTGTCATTTGGCCTACCAGAGAACACTCTTCTAGTTTGGTTATTATGTAAAAATTCCAGACTAATTGATAATAGAACCAAGTGACTTCATTGGTAATTTAGATTGAAAAATTGAAAAAGAGTTAAGGAGAAAATGCAGTATCAGCATGAAAGTCGTTGCTTCACTTGGGAAAAACATCTGTCTGGATTTCATATGTGTATATATGTGTATTGAGAAATTAACTGTAAGTTTTTCTAAGATGGAACTAGGCTAAAGGTGATATTTTTTTTTCTAGATCCTATACAGTGGTCCACAGACCAAGTCCTCCATTGGGTGGTTTGGGTAATGAAGGAGTTCAGCATGACTGATATAGACCTCACCACACTCAACATTTCGGGAAGAGAATTATGTAGTCTCAACCAAGAAGATTTTTTTCAGCGGGTCCCTCGGGGAGAAATTCTCTGGAGTCATCTGGAGCTTCTTCGAAAATGTATAAAATTAGAGTTATTATCTTTTGCATTGTAACTAAAGCTTAATTTTATTTTTTGTAACTTTGTTTTCATTTTACTAATTGTTAATAAGCAAACACATGCTATAGTAATTAACATTTATTGTTATATAGGGAGTGTGAAGAGTGAAGAGTTCTTTATGTATTATCTCAGTTCCTGTAGTAATGCCATGAATTATTCCTTTCCTGATTTTTACTTTCTATGTGAGAGACTGAGGCTGTAAGATCCCTACAAAGTGTTAGACCTAGAGAGTGTCCAAATGAGATTCTAACTCAGGCTTATGCCACATCCCCGGGTCTCTCGCTCTCTCTGTTCTTTTTGGTTTTCTTTTTCTTTTCGAGACGGTATTGTTGTGTACTCTGTCTCGTAGCCTCAGTGTTTGAGCCTCTTGCTGCAGTTTCCCAGGGGCTGGGATTGCAGGTGCAAGCCTGGTCAGCACCCAGATCTTAAATCTCACAAGATGCTCCACCCCTAACCCTCTTCATATTCTCTTTGCCTAGTCGTTGCCTGCATTTGATCACAGATTTCCTTCCTGGTCCCTTACTTGTGGAATTTGGCATTTTTAATGCCTCCTTTAGTTGAATAAGTAAGTTTTTTTTTTTTTTTGTTTTGTTTTGTTTTTTTTTTTGTTGTTTTTGTTTTGTTATGTTTTAAGAGAGCTGCAGAGATGATCAGGGGACTATGAGGGAAACTTGGAAACCATCTGGCTGACCAAAGATTTCATGTAAACATAAATTTTTTGTTTAATCCATCCTATATGTTAATGACTTTTCTGGTGTCTTGTTAAGCAATCTTAACAACAGCTAATCCCCTCATACTGTTTTGTATGTCAGTGGTGTTATAGATCTGTGGTTTTCAGTTTACAAGTGGGTAGACTCTGTTCTTTATTAGCGTGAAGGATGGAAATGCCGTGGCTCTTACTTCGTTCTACTGTACACCTGGTAAGGAAAGGAGGTCTTACCCAGTAATTGATGCTGGGTTTTCACCCTGGGTGCCTTCTGTTGAGTAAGAGGTGAGTTCTGGGAGGAAGCTCTGCTTGCTCAAGCCTCTTGAATGGATTCTCATGGATAGTTTTAAGTGTCACTGAGAGACTGTGTGCATTGGCTGTGTAGGGCTATTACCAGCTTCAGTTCTTACACAAGAGTAAGCCGAAGGTCTTGGTTGTGCTTTTAGAGTCTCAACTGAATCATGGTCATTCAAACATTTTCTTGTTGGAATTCTTGGAACTACAACGATAATAGTCTCTTCGGAAGGCATGGTGTTTCCAGTCTCTCCCACATCAACTCTTTCTTGTGCTTGTCACGTTGTTGATTCACCTGATGTTTCTCAAACTGTGAACGTTACTACTCATTTGCTATTCCTAGTCAGGAGGCAAGAGTCTTGTTTGTCCTTACTTTTCTGTGCACTGGAGTGAGTTTTCCTCAGAGAAACTCTGCTCTAATGTTGTACAGCCTCCATAAATATCTCACAGAATTGCTTGCCCTTCCAGCATGGATCTTTGCTCTTATAAGTAATTGGCATTTGGTTTTACGGTCTGAGGCCCAGTTCAGCATTTATAGTATGGGCATGATGATCTATAGGCCTTTTCTGACAGACTGTCTTTAGTTCCCAAGTCTTCTCAGAGCACTTCCCACCTCTGAAAGGGACTGTTTCCTAGGGCAGAGCTTCTGAGCAGCCTGTGGCCTAGTCGGCCTTAACACTCTCTTCTGAAGCCATCTGAAGACAGAGCTCCTTTTTGCACCTTGATTACTCGGCCCACTTGAATGCAGCTCCTAAGTTCGTTCTTCACAGGTTCTGTTATATTTGGGGAAGACAGATAAATGGTTCGGGCATACAGATTCTTCAGTGTGCCTTTGGTGTGAATATCTGCCTTGTCACCAAAGACCAATGTCGTTAGAGAAAGAACTGCTTCGGCGTTATATTCTTAGGGCCTAATGTTTTCTCGTAAACTGCTCCATGTTCCCCAGGACTTCGATTTCAAGCATTCTGTTTCCCTCTTGCATGGTTAAGATTTGGGGGGCTTCTGACGAAACATTCAAGAATCTATCACTGTGTGTGTTCTGCTTTGTCTTGAGAGTCTGAGAACCACACCAAACCCACGTCTCTGAGAATGAAGGTTGGATCTGAGTTTCCAGGTCTCCGGTGTCTGGGCTGTGTAATTTCTCCTTTCTAGTATGTCTCCTTTAAGGCTAAGCCATTTCTATTCATTTAGTGACAGATGGAGAAATTTCAGTCTTAATAGCATTTTTCTTCGTTGAGACTTTTAAAAATACTAAGGAAAAATTACCACAAATAAAGGTTTTAAGAGAGAAAAGTTCTGAGGAAGAAGATTCAAAACTAGATGTCTGAATAAAATATAATAATCGTCAGTTTATTGCAAAGTTAACTTTGTAGTGTGCTTTTTAAAAACTTTTCTTTAGCATTCAGAACAGCCTTCTTTGTGAGCTGTGTGAAATCTCACTTAGACAGAAAGGATGTCCAGAGGTCAAGATTTTACCTAAGTGGTAGTGATTGCTAAGATCTAAAGCCCTATGTCTCTGAAGCAAGTAATTAAGACCTTAAACTTAGGAGTTCCAAAGAAAATTCCATCTGGTGTGTAGGATCCAGACCTTATCTTAGTCTCCCAGCTCTTCGCTGCTCTTATATCTCAAACTGGACCCAGGCATTACACCCTCAGAGTGTTCTTAGGTTCCCTGTCTCATGATTCACTCAGGCCCAGGATGATTACTGACAGGTTCAGTTTCAACAAACAGGCATGATTATGACAAACATAGTGCCAGAAATTGGGATGTATGATTATAGTAAGATTATCGTAAGAATAGCATCTAATCTGGGAAGACTGACACATGATTAATGAAGGTTTTGCTAATAATTAAACTTTATGAATGTTATAATGTTAAGTCGGGTTTATCCAAAAGTGAATGTTATAATTGAAATATCTCGAGGGTTTTGTTATCCTGCTAAGTTTCAGTTATCTAATACATATCTTGTTTGTTTGTCTCACTGGTTTTGGTTTTAATTGTGGGTCTTTGAAAAAAAAAAAACATTGTGTTTGCTAAATTCATTTTTATTGGATTGGGAATTATATTTTTGGTTTTAAATGAAAATGAATTTTCTTGTGTTCTTCAGATGTTTTGGCAAGCCAAGAACAACAGATGAATGAGATAGTTACAATTGACCAGCGTGAGTATTCATCCCCATAGAATTTGCCCACTTACCAGAAAGACATGCTCCTTTGTTAGGTAACTTCAAGTTAGTTTCCACATAGCTTTCTATGAGAGGGATGGAGCGTCATAAGTAGCCCCTTGTAGACCAGGAGCAGAGCCTGTGTGCTGGGTTTGCTTACTTGGGATCCTGTTGTTCCCTCTCTAAACTGAGGGCTGATTATCCACAGCTGCTCCTTCAGAGTTCTTTCTTTGTGCCAGCTGTGCTCCCTAAGTACTCTGTAGCATTACTCTGTGCATGCCTGAGGCTGGTACCTGCGCCAGTGATAAACTCAGTGGCTATTTACCACGGTGACGCCTGGAATTCTGTTTCCTTCATTTTCACTGCTGAATAGCTTTTATGAAAATGCCACAAATGTTACCAGATAGTTAATTTAAGAAACATGAGTTTCCATTTCTACCCTTTCAATTCCATGAGAGCCGGCTTTTTCACAGTGCTTATGAGTTTATAGTCTTGTGGACTAGTGTGAGTTCTCGGTAGTCTAAGTTTGCACCGTCTTTTAAACCATTTTTACAAACAAATGAACTGGAACTTTGAAAATGGATATATGCCATTTTAAGTTGTTGTTTTGGAATAAGGAAGATTAGCTGTTTCTAAACTAAGATTCTCACGACCTGCAATGGAAACAGCACCACTTTCTTCTCTACCTAGGTCTGAAGTCTTTTCTTGACGTGATTAGAGGGACATTAATTTTATTGATCGTATTTATTTTTACTTCGTATAATAGAAAGAAAATGTTTTCCTTTTTGCCTTTTCTTTCAGCCGTGCAAATTATCCCAGCGTCAGTGCAGTCAGCTACACCAACTACGATCAAAGTTATAAATAGTAGTGCAAAGGCAGCCAAAGTACAGAGATCCCCAAGGATTTCAGGAGAAGATAGAAGCTCACCTGGAAACAGAACAGGTATTTTTGCATGGATTGATGTTGTAAAACTTGTCAAGTTAGATATCTCAAAGTATGAATATAGACTCTCTCTGTCAATGTGTAGTTCATATTTCTAAAATGTGAAGTTTGTTTTTGCCTTAGCTGAAATTGAACCGGAGAATCTGTGCACTGCCTTTGAGTATGTTAGCTTCTAACATGGTGACCCCTGCTTGTTATGCTTATGGATTTAGGAAACAATGGTCAGATCCAACTGTGGCAGTTTCTGTTAGAGCTTCTCACTGACAAGGATGCTCGAGACTGTATTTCTTGGGTCGGTGATGAAGGTGAATTTAAGCTAAATCAGCCTGAATTGGTTGCACAAAAATGGGGACAACGTAAAAACAAGCCTACAATGAACTACGAGAAACTCAGCCGTGCGTTACGGTAAGCATTTGTAGTTCTTGTTTGTTTTCCCTAATACCAGACTTCTCTAAAATGTAGCTTCTTGTTCATGATATAAGTCTGTTAAATAATGAAAATAAAATATTTTTTCTTAAGATAGTGGGAGTGAGCCAGGCAGTGGTGGTGCATGCCTATAATCTCAGCACTTGGGAGCAGGGGGAGGCAGATCTCTATGAATTCCAGGCTGCAGAGTGAGTTCCAGGACAGCCGGGGCTACACAGAGAAATCCTGTCTCAGAAAACAAAACAAAACAGAAAAAGATAAGATGAGGGTGTGTGTGTGTATTTGGTTGATGGATGGATGGATGGATGGATTGATTGATTGATTGATTGATTGATTGATTGACTGACGGGATGGCTCAGTGAATAAAGGTGTTCACCACAAGCCTGCCCAGCCAAGGTCCCTCCTTGGATCTACACAGTAGGAGAACCAGCTTCTGACTCACGTATACACACACACACACACACACACACACACACACACACACACACACACAGAATAAATGGTGTGATTTAAAACAAAATTTAAAGCTAAATTTTCATGCAGTATATTAAAAATAAAATAAAACTTTTATAATTAAATTTAATTAAAATGATAATTTTGAGGTGCATAAAGCTTTTTAAAACATAAGATTGTATTATGTGATTTAAAAGCATTTAATTCTCTGCTCATTAATCTTTAATATTGTTGTAATTTGCATTACAAAGATAAAGATGCTACTTACATACCAAATTTGAGTGTATAGTGTATCAAATATGTGAATACTGTCTTCTGTTTTTATAGTCATGTTTACAGTTTTATCTTTTTATCTCTGCCTAAATCCAAATAACCAAAAGTATAACTTTGAATGATTTTTCCTAAATACTGTGAGTACTCTAAATGGAAAGCCCTCAACTACCTGTGTTAGTGTGGGAGTTACTTCCACACTGTGGCCAGAGGTGGGCCCTGCAGGATTGTATCCAGTGAGGAGTGTCTTTGTTCCCTGCTAAGTTACTACGTGTGTCCACACATACTTAGTGTCCTATCATCCATGTATCAGCAGCAGAATGAGTAGACTAGGTAATACATTTGAGTATTAAATGTGAATACTGCCACAAATGATGATACAGTAATGTTCAGGAAGGGGTCTGTGTCCAAGGGCCTTTATACTGTGTGTGTATGTGCGCGCACTCACAGTACAGTTTGATAAAATAGGAAAAGCAAACTACAGCATTTATGTGCATTACAGGAGAAAACACAAAGGAGAGCAATGAAATTAGTGTCTTGAAGCAAATTGTGTTTTCCCTTTAGAGTGAGGAGGTTGGATAAGAACAGAGGAGGCTCTAGGTGTTGACAGAGTCTGTGATTAGATCTGAGTGATACTGAATGGTGAATTGTCATTGTATTACACACAATTAAGGCTTGTGTGTGTGTTCTTCTTTTCTTTTACCAAGAAATGATGGTTATACCAATTACAATTACATTCTAGAAAGATGAAATCACTTTCTTTTTTCTTTTTCTCGTGTCAATTTGTCATAAACTTGTATTTTTAAACTGCATGGCAAGCAATTTGGTGGTTTATAAGCTGAGATTCAAATTCTTTGTTGCTGTAAAGCCTGCTGTACAGAGTAACTATAACTGAACTGCTTCTGTCTCTAGAAACTGTAGTAACTAACCCAGAGTGGATGCTGGGTCTGCTCTGCAGTTGTAGACTGGGCAGCCGTGGTTCTTTATGGTACCCTTTATCTCTTCCTGGAGCCTGTTTGTTCTCACCCCTTAAATTTTTTATTCTTTTGGGGCCTGTCTTAATGTTTTATTGATGTGAAGAGACACCATGACCATAGCAATTTTTAAAAAATTTTTATTTTATTAACTTTCTTTCATTTATTTTACATACCGACCAGTTTCCCCTTTCTCCTCTCCTCCCATCCCGTCCCTCCCAAACTCCTGTCTACCCCTCTGCCCATCCACTCCTCCTCCATCTTCACTCAGAAAAGGGCAGGCCTCCCTTGGGCTTGAACCAAGCATGGCACATGAAGTTGAGGTAGGACCAAGCTTCTTCCCCTGCTTCAAGACTGGGTGTGAGGTAATCCAGTGTGGGGAACAGGTTCACAAAAGAACCCCAACAATTTTTTATAAAGGAAAACATTTAATTAGGGTGGTCAGGGTGGCTGGCTTATAGTTCAGAGGTTCAGTCCATTATCATCATGATGAGTATGGCAGCGTGCCAGCAGATGTGGTGCTGGAGGAGGAGCTAAGACTCCCACATCTTGCAAGCAACAGGAAGTAGTCTCACATACTGGGTTGCATCTTAAGCATATATGATACCTCAAAGCCACCTTCACAGTGACACACTCATCCAACAAGGCCACACCAACCCCACCAAAGCCACACCTCCTAGTAGTGACACTCCCTTGGGGGCCTTTCTTTCAGACCACCACAGGACCCCCTAATGGTTTGGAAAGTTTCTCCAAAATTTGGGGAGCCTTTATATAGTAAATGGAAAAGATGACGGGTATGTCTGTATTGGGTGTATTAGATTTTATATAAAACTAAAGAAGTGGACTTGTCAGCAATCTAAATTTTTGTTATCTGGATCCTTATTAGCATAGCTTGTATTTTGTGGAGATTTGACTGTGGCATTCATTGTGTGCTAAGTACTTTTTAAAGATTGTCCCTTCAGTGTGAGGGTAAGTACTGTTTTAACCTCATTTTACAGGATTAGAGGAAATGGGGTGTTCTGTGGTCACAGAGGCAGCGAGTCCAGGTGCAGGGCTCTGCCACATAGTCTCTGGCTTAAAAGCGCTTGGTTAGGTTTCTGTTGCCATTCCCAAGGCTTTTGTTTCGTCTTCTCTTTAGAGTAATTATGTTGGTTACTAAATCAGTGCGTTGTCACAGTCGTTATAATTTTATCTTGAAAGTTTCATGTCACTGACTATTTGGGTGGGTACAGAACTCCATGGGCTTCTATTTTTAGAAAAGTCTAAAACACAGGGAGTACAAACTTCATTTTTTATAAGGGCCTAATGTGGTTTCTCTTTTTAAAGGTATTATTATGATGGAGACATGATTTGTAAAGTTCAAGGCAAGAGATTTGTGTACAAATTTGTTTGTGACTTGAAGACTCTTATTGGATACAGTGCAGCAGAGCTAAACCGCTTGGTCACAGAGTGTGAGCAGAAGAAACTTGCAAAGATGCAGCTCCATGGGATTGCCCAGCCAGTCACAGCCGTAGCCCTGGCTGCTGCCTCTCTACAGACAGACAAGGACAATTGAAACCAGGGACCTGCTGGGCATCTAAGGCTTTTCTTAAATATTTGGAGCAAGCTTTGCTCTCATCTTTATTACTGAATTTGAATCTTATTTCTAGACTGTACAATCTGATGCATGATTTTTTATAAATATTTCATACTCTTGTGAATTTGGATCTTTTTACTTTGAGCATATATTTTAGAAAATGTGTGTTAAAGGATCTCCGCGATGCCTGACATATGAGAGCAGGTTCATCGTGGAGTAGTTTGCTAACAGTCAGGAAAGCTAAACTGGTCAGTATTAATGTCTAGCCCTACCAAAAACAGCCAGTAGCATCTGAAGATGACAGTAAGGAAGCTGTTTCCTCTCTGCTGCTTTCCATAGAGCCCAAAAAAGGAAATTTTCAGTAAGCATGTGTGCCTGTTTCACCTAATCAAGCAGAGCTAAATGTTCATATCAAATAAAATTATATTGATAATTACTAAACTATCAGGGTATTAATTTGTATATTTGCAAGTAAAGAAGAGGTTAACTGGCAGAAGAGAATGTTGAATGAGACCCAGGTTTAAAGCTGGCTTAACTCAAGCCGTTATTAATGGTTTTCTGTATAGTTTATTCATTATGTCAGGCCAAGGACTTAAATTATTTTGAGAGAGGCATTTAATCTAATAAACTAGGTATTGCAAAAATTCCAAAATGATATCATTCTTTCAGATTTTAAAAAACATACCTCAGTAAGAAAATAAGAATTTGGTTTAGTTTGACTTCTGTTTTATTTTTTAACTAATCTGTAGTAGCAGATTATTATGCAACAACCATTTATATATTCATTTCTATGTTTCGGATAAAATTAAGACTTTAGATCGGACCTTTAAAGATGTTAGTAAGTTACTTGTGAATAGTTATAAAAGGATATTTGACTTGGCACTGTCGGTGATCTTTAAATAAACTTTCCCACTTGTTTCATTTTTTTCCTTTTGAATATTGCATATGTGTCTCTAAAAAATTATATGTGGCCAGCTAATCACTTTCTGCATTATGAAGACATAAAGATATTCAAAAGAGAGACTTATTTCTAAAATCTTTAAGTATTATATGAGATGCCTTACTGCTTGCTAACACTAAGAAGAAATGGCTAGAAAAATCTTTTTTCTTTTGTTTTAAAGTATTATGCATAAATCATGATATGAGAGACTAGCAAATAGTTTTTATAGCAGAAAGGTGTTCTCAGAAGAATATAAAGGCTACTTTATTACACACCTCTTTCGTTTCTTTTCTTTTAATTCATGCCCAGAAATGGCTTTAAAAGAACCCATTTGATGTTGACTAGGAGGAGAAAGCAATGATATGCAGCCTGGTGGTATTGGAGGTCAGCGGTGGCTGCTGCTGCGGTGCTATCAGACTGCAACAAGCATTGTTAGTTTGTTTATATTGAGTCCTTTAACATTCTACAGTAAATACCTAAAAACAATTAAATTGTTTCTCTCTCTCTCTCTCTTTTTTTTTTTTTTTTTTCCTTCTAATAAACAGTAGGCTGGCAAACATCAGTACAATTTGATCCCCATGATTTTAAAAATATCTGAATATAAAAATGGTCCTGAGGCTCTGACTTCAGGTGACAAACGAGCAGCTGTAAAGGAGGCTTTTCCCATGTTTGTAAAGCCTGGGGAAATCAGTCACTGTTTCAAAACAGGATGTTTCCATAGCACATGGAGAGCTTGAGGATCTGCAGGTAAAATGTTTCAGAGATGTGATGTGTGTTTCATTTGTAGAAATGTAGGCTTTATTTAAGGGACGTCTATTTCTAGGTCCCTAAAGTCTATTTAAGTATTTTCAAATGCTTTGTTTAAAAAACAAATAAACAACAAACTATTCTGTAGGTTTTCTTTCTTTATGGATTTTCTTTCTTTGATAGATTTTGTTTTAGGCATTATCTGAACAGAGTTCTCAGACATGAGATGCTCATTTCTCTTCACCTCCTATGTACCTCCACACGGGATATGAGAGCGGTTTCTCCTCGGCTCAAGCTGTAACTCTGTCTCCACTTAGATACAAAAAAATACTTGTCCTTATGCGGCCACAATTTGCTAGTCTTTTATTAAAAACAACTCATATTAATTTGTGGTATTCTTTGCTCAGTTTCATCATACACATTTCATAGAATTTAAGATACAGTCAAGCAAAAAGAACATAGAGTTGTTTGACCATCTTTTGTACCTTGTAAGTTCAAGAATAATGAAATGTTCGCTTTTGTTTCAAATCAGCTTTTCCATGTGATGTTTTCGTGGAGCTCTTTTTCTCCGTGTTCTAGCCTGAAGTCCGAACGTGGTGTTGGCATTGGAAAAGTCTAGCTAGTTAGTTAGGCAGAGTTGCTGTGTGTGCTTGAACTCCACATGATCAATTAACTGGTTACATTCACTTTGGTGTCAGTCCATGTAAATAAATTAGGAAGAAATATTTAATTTTTCTCCCCAGAGAAATGGTGATGCTCGAGTATGGTTATTTCTTTTAAGGAGTGTACCTCCAAATGTTTTTAGCAAGTTCTGTCGTTTTCTGCATTTGCCGTTTATGCTACTGCCTTTTATAAAGAGCTAGTGTATCCTTCAGATAGCACAAAAATGTTTTAAAATTTATAACTGCAAAACAAACCTGTGACTGACTTAATGTCTTCAGATCTAAAGGCTATAAAAATGTTATTTCAATATTTCACTTACTCCCAAGGAAAAAAAAGTATTCTCAGTCTTTTATAGAAGGGAGAATTTTTGCATACATTTTTACTCTTTAAATAAAGACACTTATACTATCATAATAACAATTATGTATTTCTTTGGTTTTTTTGTAATTTTACATAAAACAGTTATTTTCTATTTTTACTCAGATAAAAATATTTGTGCATAAAATGTAAAAATAGTAAATGAGAAAAATAAAACTATTATACAATAAATTCTTATGTTGGAAGTTTTTGGTTTTTGTTTTCTTCTGAAAAAAATTTCAGATTCCTGGGGTTTTTAGACGGTTGAAAATCTTGAAGGTCACTTCTGATAACATCCATGTGTTCCTCTGAATCGCTTTTCAATTACTTAAAGCCTATTGAAATAGTGACCCCCCCCAGGACACACACATACACATAATTTTGGGGAGAACAGATTCTGCTGAGCTGGTTGATACAAGGTAGTTGGTAAGAAAAGTGATGTATTCCCATCCACAGAACTAAGGTTTTAGAGTAGTAACAAGTAAACCAGTAAGGTTAAACACTTGACACAAAGGCAAGGTAAGGACTGGAGAGATGGCTCAGTAGTTAAAAGCCCTTACAGCTCTTGCTGAGTACCCAAGTTTGGTTCCCAGCACCTGTGGCCACCAAGGGATTGATAGAACGTCTTACTGACCTTCACAGGCATCTATATGCACATGCATATATCCACAAACACACACATACACGTAACTGAATAATAAAAATAAGCCTTTCTGAAAGTGCTATTCCTTAAAATTAATGGTTGTGAAGTTACTGTATTTATCATTCACCGACCTCTGTTTGAAGTCAGGGTCTCACTATGTAGCAGTGTGAGTCCCTGTTTGTGACCTTCCTGCCTCTGTCTCCTGAGTCCTGCAGTGACAGGATGTTTTGGGCAAGACCTAAAGGAGAAATCAAGTCTGGAATATATCATTTGTGCCTTTGTAGCCCAGCAGTGTTTAAATTTAGGCATGCTTAATAAGAAGACTAGTATTTATGAACTGCATTGTTTTTAAAATACATCCTTTGCCTTTAGTTGGGAGTGAGTGATGAAAGCCATTTCATCCTAAACAGGGATCGCTGATATATCTGCTTAAAGTAAACAACACTAAGGGCCTAAGTTGAAGATTACCCATCAGGAATATAATTTTCCATAATGGAAATTTGGTGCTCATTTCATGTCATAGTAAAACATTACCAAAAAAAAAAAAAAGTGCTAAGTGACTCAGTGTTCAACCATGATAATCTCACATCAGATGTGTCAAGCAATTTATTTACCTTTCCAATTATTTTTCTTAACCCTTTGTGGATATCAGTAATGTCCAGTTTACAAATGGAAGAGCTGAGGTCTAGAATTTGTCAAGATTGCATGTGTGTGGACAGGGTAGACTGATACAGTGCAGATGTTTTCATTAGGATAAACCTATCTCAATAAAGACAGGCTCACTAACAAAGGAGCAGTGTGGTCAATTTGTTGAACAAATAACTCGCACACCAAGTACCTTTCTTGTGTCACTTGGCCTTGTCTTAAGTGAGGTGATTTCTTTAAATTTTCCTTAAGGCACCTTGAACTTTAGTAAGCAGAAAGTTTTTAAAAAATATAACCAACCTTGAGTCAAATAACGGCCATGGGTAACACCAATGGTTACTAAGCCACTGGGTGAAAAGTTGTTAAATTCATTTTATGAGGGCTGGATGCATTTGATGATACCTGAATACATTCCCAGCCTTAGCATCTGTTGTGTGACAAAACTTCCAGGGGAGACACAACACACATCTGTTCACCCCAGATGGAACCCACAACAGACAGATACACCCACTGTTCCAACTTGTTCCAACTAGTCAACAAGAATATAGGTGAGGGGTTATTACTCACAGGAGCAGAAACTACTAAAGGATAGCTGCATCACAAAGGCCCACCCCATCACGGGTGACAGCTCACATTGCACAGCCTGCAGGCAGCTCAACAGGTTGGAGAGTGTCCTTCACAAATTTATCTGGGCAGTGGTAGTGCACACCCTTACTCCGCAGGGGCAGGTAGATCTATGAGTTCAATTACAGTCTGGTCAAAAAACAAGTTCTAAAATAGCCAAGACTACACAGAGAAACACTGTCTAGAAAACAAAAGAAATGTGACTCAGTTGGCCTAATCCTTGTCCAGGCAGTTGGGCTGGTCTCAATAGTCTTTGCAGCTCAATTTCTTCCCATGTGAGGAATGCTCAGCTTTTATCATGGCAGAGAGGAGGAGCCTAGTGAATTTGGTCAGCTTCGGGAACTACTTAAGCTGTTTTGAGCTGTTTAGCTTCCTTGCAGGATGGAAAGCTTCAGTCTGGGAGTAAACTGTTACACAATAGCATTGCAAATACAGGCCAGTGGTCTGGTGCATGCACTATGTGTGGCCTTTTGAAAGGACCAGAGTTCAGTTCCCAGCATCCACACCAAGAGGCTCACAGCTACCTATAACTCCAGCTCCAGATAATCGGTACCCTCTTCTGGCCTCTTTAAAATTTTAATTACAAGGACAACGCACATACTGACCTCTATAAAATGTTCATTACAAGACAAAAATTTTATAAATCTTTTAAATTAACCAAATAGCATGTGACCTTTGGACACTAATTACATTAAGTAAGTTATAAATGAAAGTTGACTAATTAGGGAAATTTGAACACTAGGTATTTGAAAATCCTGAGGTTTCCGTACATTTGGGGCAGTGGTAGTTTTTGTGGTTATAAGAAAGGGGAGGAAGAGGGGAAGAATATCCATTAGAAATGTACACTGGGTAAAGATGAAATGCTATGATGTCATCTATTTGCTTCTCAATAGTGGGATACAGATACAAATAGCAGTTCCCAGGGCTGGAGAGATGGCTCAGCAGTCAAGACCATTGGCCGCCCTTCCAGAGGGCCCAGGGTCAATTCCCAGCACCCACTGAGAGGGCAAGGGAGCAGATCAGAGCCATGACCAGTTTCTAATAGCCCCTTCCAGGGTCCAGGACTTAGTTTCAGTTTACTGCAGATGGCTGGAGCTGGGCACACAATTCTTAGGGAAAACCATAACTCAGGGGCAACCAATCAACAGGCGCCCCCTTAGCTTTCTGCTGGCTAGCAAATGACCACAGTCTCCTGATTGCTCAAGATAGCTTTTCCTCCCCTGCCTCTGGAAAGTCCCTAACCACTAGAGCCCCCCACCAATCAGCCTCCAGACTAATCTCTTCTCCCCGGAATTCCCCAAACCCAGTTTAAAAGGGGGCCTTCGAGGCTCTAGCCCCCCCCAAATGTTGGAATATTAATTTTAAAAAAGAGCTTTTGCTGATTGCATAAGTTACTGGTCGTCTGTTATGGAGACTTCTTGAGGACCCTAACACCACACGGCCGGCAGCTTACAACTGTCAGTAACTCCAACTCCAGAGGATCTGACGCCTTCACACAGACATGCAAGCAAAACACCAATTAGTGTTCATAAAAATAAAAATAAATTATCTTTTAAAAATGAAAGTTCCCTTGGGTTGAAACCTTGATTCTGGGTGAGTAAGGGGGTAATCACTATTTTTATTGTATATATGGAATTTTCTATGAGCATTTGTGTGTGTGTGTGTGTGTGTGTGTGTGTGTGTGTGTGTGTGTACACTATTCTAAAGAAATTTACCTGAAACAGGGATCAAGGGTAACATTTACATCTACAAAATTACATCAAAATGTAAAAACCATTATCTCTACATGAAGAGTATTATTGTTTTTTTGTGCGTATGGTATGTAAGGTCAAGCCCAAGGAGGACCCCAAGTGTACTAGGTAAGTACTCTAACACTGAATAATACCCCTCCATGGAAATATTAATTTCTCATCACCAAATGGAAAATACTCCTTTTACGTATCACATGTATTCCTGAGAAGTTGTAAATATTATTATTGCTAGCAGTATTTTATATAGTTTGCTTTAGAACATGTATTCCTAATTCTTAAATATCAGCAATGAAAGTTTATAATTAACAACTTCGAATTACAGAGAACAAATTAAAAATGTTCAGCCAGTAGAAACTGAAAAGCAAGAATGGACCCTGACCTTGTGTCATATGTAGTAGGTTTCTCCACTTAAGCAGAAAGCCAGGTCAAGTTGAATTTAAAAAGTAAAAGAACAGGCTTATTTGAGCAGAGCAACTCCTGGGTGAGTTCTCTGGCCCCAGAGGTTGAATCAGGGGAGTCATGTACCTGAACTAAAGCAGAGAGATTGATTATTCAGTCTGTAGGCATGGGTGACAACGAGTCCTCCACAAACTGGGTTTATACCCAAGTATGCTCAAAAGCTGGAATGGTTGGGGCGGGGACTTGGGCTGCTGGCAACTTCAGGGGAGGAGCTAGAGCAGCCATGGAGAATGTGGCACTGGGCTGTTCTGTGCCTTTTCTTTGTTGACTTTCTGAGAGGCTGGGGTTGGAGAGAGGAATGGGGGCTCTTGGGATCAAGCAGGAGAAGCGGGAGAAAGCTGGAGCTTCCGGATGAACAATCAGGCTTGGCATGCCAGGAGAGAGGCTTTAGTCTTTTAATAAAACAATGTAAGAACAAACCCAAGCTGGGCTTGGGGGGGGGGGGGCAACATCTTGAATCCCAGCCCTCTGGAGGCAGAGGCAGGTGAATCTCTGTGAGTCGAGGCCAGATTGATCTTCACAGAGAGTTCCAGGATGGCCAGAGCTATGTAGTGAAACTGTGTCTCAAAAAACAAAACAAAACAAAAAAACAAAACAACAACAACAACAACAACAACAAAAAAACCAAAAAGCAAAAAACAATGAAACCTGACTCAGAAGGAAGACTGAGACAGTTAAAAGTTTCCAAAGAAAAGAATAGGGTGGCAAGCTGTAAATCTGGGCAGCCACAGGAGAGCGAGTTGTGTCTTTTGAGTTATAGTCTGAGAAACACTGAGGTCAGCGAGCAGCCGTAGGACCACAGTCATATGGCCAAGGACTGGGGAGGATGTAACTTTGGGGAGTGACAAAGTCGAGACTGTCTGGAAGGAAACACTGACACTTCTGGCCAGTATTGGGAAGGGGGGGAGGGAGGGAGAGAGGGGGGAGGAAGGGAGGGAGCTATACTTTTTTCAGTGAGTTAGGAACAGATAGGCTCTTAGATACAGCCTGCTGAAAGCATTGTGTGCAAGGGAGGAGCCTCTGGAAAGGCTAAATAGATTACCTCAGAGGGATGCATTTGTTTACATTAG